TACTGTGGCCTTCGAAGGGTTGACATGAGCATTAGAATTAAGTTCACTCTCCATTGACTTGGCAATCTCTTGACGTTCTCTTCCATGTCTATATACTAAGAGGTCATCAGCAAATAACAAGGTCCTGCCAATCCTGTAAATTTCTGCTCTGTTATCAGCACTGTGTACACGTTGAATAGCACTGGAGACAGAGGAAAACCTTGAGACAATCCTGGGCTGATGGTTATCGATTCTGAGGACCAACAACCACACCTGAGTATCATTCATCTCTGAAACAGTACTATGGCTATCCACCGGGTCATGAAGGGAGATTCTTGCAATTTGAGAAGTATGTGCACCAAGTATTCAAATGATACTCTGTTTTACGCATCCTCTAAGTCTAGTGCAGCTGCACATATCTATTCTCATTTGAAAACCTTCATAGACTTCACAGGGACTGTAAGTATGTAAGTGCTCGGATCTCCTTCTCAATAAATCCTGCACCGAGTAGCGGCTGACGATACCAATCCTGCGTTGGTTACTTATTTGTCTCTATGTTTACCTGCAAGCCTATCAGCCTGCTCATATTCTATCTACATTTACATGCCCACCTGGCACGAATATGAAACTGATTTATTTGTCAGCCAAGACCGCCTCAAGGACTCCAGCCACGATCTTCGACCCAGCCCATTTTCGTGAGGATACATACCGAGTCACTGGGAAAGCATGCGCTGGTAGAGGTCTGTTTCCAGCCATTTTATTGCTTTGGTCACTGCTATGACCTCCATTGTCAGACTATGTTTTTCTATTTATTTCGGGGAAGGGGGTAGGCCTTGGGTTACCCAATTTATAAGGTGGAAAAGGGAGGGGGTGGTGGAAAAGGGGAGAGGTTGGTGGAAAAGGGGAGGGGTTGTGGGGGGTCAAGTGACCCCCCCTCCCAACTTCCCCCATGTTAACTTCGTAGCGGCGCTCCCGTCCCTACAGCTTTTCTAAAACATTTATTGGTTCTCCTCCGAACTTCGTCCCGATATTATGGCGGCCATAAAATATCCTTACGGGCTCAGTTCTATAAAGAATATGGCGGCTCCGTATAACGAAACAAATGCTCTAACAGGGTCTCAGCGATATTTTACTTGCGGACCTGTTTCTGTGCCTCACCGCCGACGGGTATGGGGGCTAAAGTAGATGGCTGGAACTCACAAGCAGCAGCTACCGCATCTCCTGCAACTTCCTCCAATTAATTTGCTCCTGAGACCCAGGCACCTAATTTAGCCCCCCTTCCGCACCGCGCGTAGCGGCGCGGGTGATACACTCGGCGGTGAATTTAATCGCGTTTTGCGCATGCCGAAAAGTGTGAGGATACAGGTCGGCAGGTCTGACATCCACCGCTGCTAAATCCTCAATCGGAAGAACTGAGAACAGTATTGCTAAATCTGCGTGGGAGCGCGTGGTCTACCAGCCATATCGCTTTCATCGTCTGTAATGTCTCGAAATTGTCAATACTCGCTATTATCGTCTGCTAGTATCGTCTGCAATGTTGCGCCTCTTGAAATTGTCAAGTAATCCTAGTTTTGCCGCGATTTGTTCCTTGGCAGAAAGTCCACATTTTAAATATGCCTGAGCCCAGTAAGGATATTTCATGGCCGCCATAATATCGGGACGAAGTTCGGAGGAGAGCCGATTTATTTCTAAAGTTATTATTATTAATTTTACTCTCTGTTTATCAAGGCGAAAATGAGAAGGTTGTTATATTACAGTTTGTCACCTCGAGGACTGCAGTCCACAAGATTAAATCTTAGCTATAAGAATTCTACATTTACAAATTCCAGTAAGCTCTTTTCAACCATAAGATTATATTGGGCCTTCAGTTCATTATAACCAGAAGACTGGACGAAGCAGGGATGGAGATGGTTGTGTGATGTGTGTAGTTTCGGCATTTTTATAACAAACTAAACGACCGGAAGCGGACAAACAGTGTTGTTTTCAGTGTTGCCACTTTGGATGTTTTACATCCAGATTTAGATATTTTCCTTGCATCTAAAGATGGCGTTTTTGACGTTTAGATGGTAGATGTTTTTCTAGAATTTGTCATTGGGAGTGAATTTATCAAATCTAACCTAAGAAACAGGATGAAATTTGACCTCTTAAATGCTATCTTGACAATACAATTTTGCCTGATAAGAGAAGGAAAAGGCTGTTCCACTTATCAGCTCCCTGATTGGGTATCAAATAAATTGGAACAGCTAAAGCTTACCAGAGTCATTTTGGATCTGAAGCTTTAACTTCATCATGCAAGCTAAGTTTATCCTGTGGATCTTGTAAGGCAGACTTCGGTAAAGATGAGGACATGATTCTATAGGGTAAGTCATATCAATTGCTATATAATTTGTGACTCTTTCCATTTGGATTTTTTATAGATGTTTCCCACGCAACTGTAGATGTTTTTAGATATTTTTTGACTCCGTTTCGGATGTTTTTTTGTCAATGAAAAGTGGCAACGCTGGTTGTTTTCCTCAAGTAATTCGTGTTTTATGTATTCTTAGGAGTAAATGGTTTTCATATTTCACTTGTGGGTTTAAGTTTAAGAGTGAATACAACTGTTCATAACGCTCTGATGATAGTAAATAATTGCCCGTGCATTCATCAGAGCACTCTTGTAGTCGGTGTGTGTAGAGAGAGTAATAATTGTTATTTGTTAATAATAGTGAATAGTTTATTACTTTATTATCCTAATAATATATATTCGATATAAGGGGAGTCGAAGGAACCAGCTGACATTACTGACAACAGACTGGGTGTGACTCATCATTGTCATCCTTCCGTCGGTGAGTCTTCATTTTGTCATTTACTTTTTATTGCTCACAATTCATCTCTTGCTTACTGGCTCTGCGCACTGTTACATCAGTCAGTGTATTATTATACATAGTCAGTTGTCTCTAGAATCACATGCTCACCCGCCCAGAACTGCAGGTTACAGTTGGTTACACACACCGCTCTGATGAAGTGATGAAGCCGTGTTATTGTTAGTGTTACGAACGTATAGTATTTTGGTGCCCTAATTAGAACTTCCATGGAGTTGTTGACGGGATATCAGAATTCAAAATCTATTTACTATTTGGACTTGCCCTGTTGTTGGTCGGCCACCAGTACTGAGCCGAAAACGTCTTGCCTTATCCCTTCATTAGGCCCTGTTGTGTTGTTCTGCCACCCAGATTGAGGTGTTTTGATCTCAGAGTGCCACACTTTTCAGGTAGTGTAGGGCAATGTTGTAGTAGGAGAAAGTTGTTGATGTAGTTGACTATCACTATCACTTTTCAAAACAATGTTTTACCTGTAATGAATTGAAATAATAATAATGCGGATACAAACAATTTATTGCCAGGCATATTTCGCTGTATCTCATCAGGTGTTACTACAGAGTTACATAAAATGAAGCACAAAACTTTGCATTTCAGTTGAATTTATTCAGTTTTGTGCTTTATTTTATGTTTATGTAACTCTGAAGTAACGCACCTGAGGAGAAACAGCGAAATATGCCTGGCAATAAATTGTTTATATCCGCATTATTTAAACTATCACTATTGTTGGAGTTGGAGTGTTTTTGTTGTTATAAGATAACGTTGCTGTTGTTGAATGTTTTTGTTATTGACGGAGTATGTTGTTCCTGTAAGAGAATGCTACTGTAGGAACATTTTGGAATAATAATAGACTGTTGTTGGATAAATTTTGGCTATCTTCCGAATAACTGTCCCAAATTATCGAGGCCGAAAATATACCCTAACAGGGCCTCAGTGACATGTAAAATTGCAGACTTCCGGCAACTTAAATTGCGCACTTCTGGCGGGCCACCGCCAAGAGTATCTCCCACATCGCTACGCGCTGCGTGGATTAGGGCTAAACTAGATGGCTGGGACTTACAAGCAGCATCTACCGCATCTCCTGCAGCTTCCTTCATTTTATTTGCTCGTGAGTCCCAGCCATCTAGTTTAGCTCCACGCCGCGCCTAGCAGATACTCTCGGCGGTGGCGGAAGTCCGCAATTTACATGTGACTGAGGCCCTGTTAGGGTATATTTTCGGCCTCGATAATTTGGGACCATTATTCAGAAGATAGCTAATATTTTTATTATGACATAATGTTGCTTTTATAAAATGAAAAACATCTTGTGCAATATGTCCTTGTCATTGAGAGTTAGAAAAAGAATTCTTGCTTGCTACATATATCCAGTTTTAACATATGGCTGTGAATCCTGGACAATCGGTAGGCAGGCTAAACAATTTCTTAAAACTCCTTGGACAGCAAAAAAGAGCAACAAAGAGGTTTTGAAAGAGGCGGGAGCCCGAAGACAACTTATCACAGACATCAGAAGGAGACAGTCATCATTTCGACCATGTTATGAGAAGAGGGAAAATAGAACATGTTGTGACTACTGGAAAGATCTGTAGAAGGATGGATAGAGGAAGACAACAAGAGAAGATGCTTGACAGTCTTGTTGCGTGGCATGGAGGTGTGTCGGCACACAAACTGATACATGCTGCAGGAGATCGCAGATTGTGGAGAGGCATGATCGTCCACGCCAGTCGGCAAGGCACCTGATGATGATGAATGTTGCTTTGGTAGGAGAATGTCATTGTTCTTCTTAACGGAGCATGTTGTTTTTGTAGGAGAATCTTAGGATAATATTGTTATTTGAGAATAGTTGTGCAGAGTAATGTTGTTTTGAATGTTGTTGTATATTATTGTTGAGGAATGTTGCAGTAGAAGAATGTTGTTGTTGAGGAATGTTACTGAAAGTGAATGTTGTTGTTGCGAATGTTACTGAAAGAGAATTACTTGGTGTTGTTATTGGAGGAGAGTGTTGTTGTTGGAGATTATATAAGACTGTTGTTGCATGATGAATGTTGTATACTTAACATGCATGCGACTGTTGTTTCCCAAGATTGTAATTCTTGGAGAACTGTGTTGTGTGATCACATTCCTGTTTGCAGATGACTACAGGCTGCATTGTTGACATCTCTGACAATGAATGCTATCATCTCACTGTGCCATTTCTGTGAGCTTCATGGGCCAAAGATTCTTTACTGTACACAACCTTTCCGACCACAAGAGCCCAAGCAGCTGAATGGGGAGGAAACTGAAGTGAACATTCCACACAGACTTAAATCAGCATCAAGTCAGACTTCTTGTACCAGTGCTGACATTTTACCAGCATCATCATCAGCAGCAGTAGCATCGGCAGCTGCAGCTACCACAGTAAAGGAACAGTGTGAGGTAAAGGCACATGCGTTTGTTGTGTAAAGGTGATCAAAGATGTTGTGTGTCATGTAAGAGATAAGGTCATATGACTATGTTAAGTGACATCAGTGTAGGGGATATCATGTGTATTTGAGGTCAATGTAGGAAATAATGTGACATGATTGTGTTACTTGATGTCTGTATATAAAAGATTATATCATGTGATGTCAGTGTATGATATAATTTTATGTGTCAACGTTATGTGATGTCCATGTAAGAGATAATGTCACGTGATTGTGCTTTGTGACATCATTGTAGGAGATAATTCATAAGACTGTATTACCTGAGGTTTGTGTAGGAAATAATGTCTTCTGCTTCTTCATGTTTACCGCCTGTAAACTCCGGCGTAAAGTTCTTTTTGTTCATCCATTTCTGTTCTTGTTCCAGAACTAGAGTTTTGCATGCACATCTGTTTTACAGATCTAGCTTATTTGTATGCAGATCATTCATCCTCACCTCTCAGGCAGATGCACTCCAACTTTAGAGGAAACACCCCTAAGTCAACTTTTATTATATGCTTGTTGTGGGCAGGATGGGGTGTGCAGTGGGTCTTTTCTTTTCCCTCACAAGGGGGCCCCTGAAGAGGAACATATCTCTGCCTGTCCTTTCTCCCTCTGTCTTGCTCCCTCCATCTCTCTCTTTGCTTGTCATCTTTTTTCCTTCTTCCCACTGTCTTTATTTCCCTTCTTCCCCCTCTCTTCATCTGCCATCTCTCTCTCTCTCTCTGGTACCAGTTTTAGAGCAGACAGGACTTCATTTTGCTCCCATTTGCCACCAAGTCTGCAAGAGATATAAAAACACTATTTATGTGCTCATATACCCACATGTGTGCGCATAAATGAAGTACTACATATGCCTGGTACACCCATGAACAAGGCAGAAATGACTGGGGAGGGGCCCTTGAAGGCAGTTGAAAAAAAAAGTTGGTTAATTTGGCTTACAACCCTTACTTTAAAACTCCTGATATGTGGTGCTTGTATCCGACAGGGCTGCAAGTCAGTACAGACAGGCTATGTGAGCCATGATGAGGAGGCACAAGTCAGTTATGTCAGCACACAGCAGCCTTACAACCCTCAAGTGTTCACTAGGATCAGACAAGCCTGCATTCGAAGTCTCAGCTCTGAGGTTTGTTCTAGTCATTGTCTACAATGATGATATTCATAGTTTCCTTTCCGAGGTTTGTTATAGTTGTTTTCTACCATCTAACATGATCATATTCATAGTCTCAGCTCTGAGGTTTGTTCTAGTCATTGTCTACAGTCTACAATGATCATATTCATAGTCTCAGCTCTGAGGTTTGTTCTAGTCATTGTCTACAGTCTACAATGATCATATTCATAGTCTCAGCTCTGAGGTTTGTTCTAGTCATTGTCTACAGTCTACAATGATCATATTCATAGTCTCAGCTCTGAGGTTTGTTCTAGTCATTGTCTACAGTCTACAATGATCATATTCATAGTCTCAGCTCTGAGGTTTGTTCTAGTCATTGTCTAGTCTACAATGATCATATTCATAGTCTCAGCTCTGAGGTTTGTTCTAGTCATTGTCTACAGTCTACAATGATCATATTCATAGTCTCAGCTTTGAGGTTTGTTCTAGTTGTTTTATACCATCTAACATGATCATATTCATAGTCTCAGCTTTGAGGTTTGTTCTAGTTGTTTTCTACCATCTAACATGATCATATTCATAGTCTCAGCTTTGAGGTTTGTTCTAGTCATTGTCTACAGTCTACAATGATCATATTCATAGTCTCAGCTCTGAGGTTTGTTCTAGTCATTGTCTACAGTCTACAATGATCATATTCATAGTCTCAGCTCTGAGGTTTGTTCTAGTTGTTTTCTACCTTCTAACATGATCATATTCATAGTCTCAGCTTTGAGGTTTGTTCTAGTTGTTTTCTACCTTCTAACATGATCATATTCATAGTCTCAGCTTTGAGGTTTGTTCTAGTTGTTTTCTACCTTCTAACATGATCATATTCATAGTCTCAGCTTTGAGGTTTGTTCTAGTTGTTTTCTACCTTCTAACATGATCATATTCATAGTCTCAGCTTTGAGGTTTGTTCTAGTTGTTTTCTACCTTCTAACATGATCATATTCATAGTCTCAGCTTTGAGGTTTGTTCTAGTCATTGTCTACAGTCTACAATGATCATATTCATAGTCTCAGCTTTGAGGTTTGTTCTAGTTGTTTTCTACCTTCTAACATGATCATATTCATAGTCTCAGCTTTGAGGTTTGTTGTAGTCATTGTCTACAGTCTACAATGATCATATTCATAGTCTCAGCTTTGAGGTTTGTTCTAGTCATCGTCACTATCTAAAATCATAATATTCATGGTCTCAATTCTGAGGTTTATTCTTGTCATTGTACAGTATGGTAGAATGTTGCAGCGTTGTATGTCTGTTGTAGAGTATGTAGGAGCATTGACACATAAAACAAAATTTGTATAACACTCGATTTTGCCTATACTTTTGTACTGTATTCCTAAATATTAAGGGGATTAGCACCTTAACTGACACTGAAGAAAATCACTTTTTCAATAATATATTCTCATTGTACCAGCTGACTTTGTTATCATTGTACGCTTTGCACAAGGCACATAATAGAGCTATCCCTTATCAAAGTTTTACTATAAATGACTGAAACAAGTCTACACAACTTTCTCCATCTAACTTTGGTTAAATCTGGTGAACACGTGTTTCATTTAAATGTAAGGCTTCTAAAGCTGTCAGTCATGCTGGCTTGCAAGTAGAATATTGCCTGGCGGTCATGTAGTTTTCAAAAACACTTGGTAACTCGGTAAACCTCGCAGACATACTATATTTGAGTCTTTTAACTGCATTTCTAAATCAATTTGATCGTCATCACCTGTGATATTGTACACAAAGAACTGGAGTGGACGTTTCAGGTGTGCAGTTCATGTTTTCACTTCTGGTCAGTGGTAAATTAAAAACCTGTGTGCATCACGTGCCATTTGGGCGATGGGTAATAACCACTTAGCACATGATGAGTTCCTTGGGACTCAGAGAATTAAGACTGTTTATGTTGGGTTAGAGATTTGTGTGTGTGGATAATACGGCATGATCATCAGCAAATATTAGCTCATTTATATCTTCCTGCTTGGGGCTTGTTTCTTTATAGATAAGAAACAAGAGTGGTGACAGCATACACTTTTGTTGTGCCCCAGATTAAACTTGAAACCAATTTGTTATGCCTACTTATAGCACACTCTGTTGTGTGATATATAGCGCTTATATTGTCTAGCAATTGTCCATTTACACCGAACTCTTCAAACGCTGATCATAGTTTGTCTTGGTTTATTTGGTCAGAGGCTTTTCTTCTTGATAAATGACAGCCACATTTTGTTCATTGTTATTCTTAATGATTTTCTTACTCATCTGTCTCAGTATAAAAATATAATTGGTGCACTCTCACTAAACTGTGAATTGCAAAGGGGTGGTCCCACTTTACATCTTACTCTTTGTTCTAAAATTCTTGTGTAGAATTTTTATATGTGGCTAAGAAGAGATATGCCTCTGAATTGACTATATTCTTTTTTTGCTGCCCGAGTTTTTCCATGCGGTCACACTCACAGATTTGCACCAGTCTTCTGGTACTTTACTGTCTTGCCCTGCCTGGTTAAAGATGTTTGTTAGCCATTTTACACCCACTTCCTGACATGCTTTGCTTGCAGTATTATCAGTTCCTGTAGCCTCATTGTTGTGGCTTTTTGATCAACGACAGCCACATTTAGTTCATTGTTATTCTGAATAGTTTTCTTACTCATCTGTCTCAATATAAAAATATCATTGGTGCACTTTCACTAAACTGTGAATTACACCGGGATGGTCCCACTTTACATCTTACTCTTTGTTCTAAAATTCTTGTGTAGAATTTTGTAGATTGCTTCTCTCACTTCCTGTTCTAGAATTGTTGGTTCAGCATAGTTACCATACTGTAAAAAATCTAATAGATGTTTGTAGCAACCAGTGGATCATGCAAGAGAAAGTGAGTGGTTGCTCTGACAGACACAAATTTGTATGTCTGTTTGTAGTAATGGCAACAAATAGGTCATACAAAAGGAAGTGAGTGGTTGCTATGACAGACACAAATGTGTATGTGTGTTTGTAGTAATGGCAACAATAAGGTCATACAAGAGGAAGTGAGTGGCTGCTATGACAGACACAAATTTGTATGTGTGTTTGTAGTAACAGCAAAAAATAGATGATAAAAGAGGCAGTGAGTGGTTGCTATGACAGACACAAATTTGTATGTGTGTTTGTAATAATGGCAACAAATAGGTCATACAAGAGGAAGTGAGTGGTTGCTATGACAGACACAAATTTGTATGTGTGTTTGTAGTAACGGCAACAAATAGGAAGTGAGGGGTTGCTATGACAGACACAAATGAGTATGTGTGTTTGTAGTTATGGCAACAAATAGGTCATACAAGAGGAAGTGAGTGGTTGCTATGACAGACACAAATGTGTATGTGTGTTTATAGTAATGGCAACAAATAGGTCATACAAGAGGAAGTGAGTGGTTGCTATGACAGACACAAATGTGTATGTGTGTTTATAGTAATGGCAACAAATAGGTCATACAAGAGGAAGTGAGTGGTTGCTATGACAGACACAAATTTGTATGTGTGTTTGTAATAATGGCAACAAATACATCATACAGGATGAAGTGAGTGGTTGCTCTGACATACATAAATGTGTGTGTGTGTGTGTAGTAATGGCAACAAATAGATCATGCAAGAGGAAGTGAGGGGTTGCTCTGACATAAATAAATGTGTGTGTGTTTGTAGTAATGGCAACAAATAGATCATGCAAGAGGAGGTAAGCGGTTGCACTGACAGACACACACATACTGTGGGGCAGTTATGAGTACAAGTTGTATTATTTCCTCTACTCAGGTTTGTCCAGGCAGAGAGGGTCCCATCTTCTTTGGGGACAAGCAGTGCGGCCATGTGCTGAGCTACACATTCTACGTCCCAGACAGCCAGGCTCGGGGCATGCACAGATGGTACTCCATCATTGTTGTCATGATGGACAAGATCTACTTGCTCAACTCCTGGCCTTTCCTTGTGCCTCACCTACGAATCGTCATAGAGAATTTACAGCATAAGGTTAGTTAGTTAGTTGGGTTATCATCATTGCACTCCGGACATGCCCATAGGTGCTCAGATCCTCCCCTCAGTATGAATCCCAACGTCCGATGGCTAATAGTACCAGTTCTATGTTGATTAACAAGTCTTCTGACGTGTCCGGTGTGCGTCTCGTTTTTTGCTGTGCCGGTCTTAATTCCCAAGTCTGCCATTCTGGCGAGTGATGTGGATTCACTGCCACCAAAGTCCTCTATCCTTCCCATTTCTCTGAGGGCATTGATAATATCATCATGATCCATAGGCCGGCCGTCGGTAGTGATAGCGGATCCAGCCAACCTGTCAGCTCTTTCATTTCCATCGACGCCTGCATGTCCCGGAACAAAAATAAAGGTGACTCCACGCACAGTGGACTTCTGAATTGATTAACAGCATAATGTGCTCAGACTGAACATTTGTAGCACATGTCACTTTTCCTTTCCGTGACTGAATGAATTTGGCTATCATAGAACTGTTTATCTAATGTACAGAACAGTAGCATGTTGCAGTGTTGTATATCTGTTGTACAGTATTGTGCCATGTTGGAAAGTATATATGTTGTAGAGTATGGTAGCATGTAGGAATGTTGTATATCTATTGTACAGTATGACACCATGTAAAAATGATGTATTTCTGTTTCATGGTATGGTAGCATGTTGGAATTGTGTATATCTTGTAAAGTATGACACCATGTAGGAATGTTGTATATCTGTTTCATAGTATGTAGTGTTTAGGAATGTTGTATTTCTGTTGTAGAGTATCGTAGTGTTTAGGAATGTTGTATATCTGTTGTAGAGTATCGTAGTGTTTAGGAATGTTGTATATCTGTTGTAGAGTATCGTAGTGTTTAGGAATGTTGTATATCTGTTGTAGAGTATCGTAGCATTTAGGAATGTTGTATATCTGTTGTAGAAGTATGGGAGCATGTAGGAGTGTTGTATATCTGTTGCACTGTGTGGTAGCATGATGGAATGTTGTCTATCTGTTCTATGCTATGGTAGCATGTAGCAATGTTATGTATCTATTGTACAGTAATATCAACTCCACCGTTGAGCAAGCACAACAGGAGGCTATTGATCATCAGTACAGTTCTGAATTATATGGATATTTTCGCCCTGTGTGTTCTGGCTCTCATCAGCCCACCTCCAGTGCATTGTAATAATATAAAAAAGCCCATGGAACATTCTTTTGGAATATAGCAAAACCTGCTGATCATATATGCTATATCCTATTGTGTGACAGACCTTAGTTCAGACGTCTGTTGACCACAAATCCAACTGAATTGCTGCTTAGGTTCAGATGTCTAGCTGTCAACAGCAAAGTTCCAGATGTCTGACCAATGATTGCCCTACCGTATGACAGAAAAGATTCAGATGTCTGACGGTCAAGTGTCCTACTGTTGGCCAGAAAGTTTAAGATGTTCACTCTCATTGACCCCCCCCCCCCCCCCCCCTTTTCCCCATCAGAGCATCGGAACAACAAGGAGAAGCCATGCCTGGTGCATGCTTTTCCTCTACTGTCATGCTTAGTGTTCCAGATGCAACAATGTTCAAGTTTTCTAATGTTTGAGGAAGATTTTGCCTATCTTTGTCGTCATCAGAGTCTCAGGTCTGTGGGCAGCTTCCTGAGGACCACTAAAGGGCTAAGCCTATGATGAGTGGAAAGCTCAGCATGCAGATGTTTGTTAAAAGTGCAGATGTGACCATTCCTTGGATGAACTCAGGACCAAAGTGTCATATGTCAACTATGCATTTATGGAAGCCTCCTTGGATGACTGGGAATGCACCTGCTTTCCCATGAGGGAAAAACCCTGAGTCAGTTCTCTCTAGAGGCAACACCTGCAGATAAAGGGATAAAGGAAACACCACAGAAATAATGGGAAGGCTAATCCGGTGAACAAATGTCCGTTGAAGTTGGATGTGTCGGCCAAAAGGCACTAATATCATGGCTCTAAAAAGGCACAATGCAAATTACGCCACTCTGGCAAATGTTGAAAAAAAACACAAATTTCTCTGTTTCAGAGATGGAAATAACAATGATAGATATTATCTGTGTCAAAGAGTGACATGGAAGTGATAGCTTTGTCTGTGTGATAGAGAGGTGTGGCATATATGTAGATACTGACAGCTGGCAACAAGACTGTTCTGATTACTACTTCTTCTGTAGACATAAATTTCTTCTATCCCTACATTGTTTTGATTATTTTTCCTTGTGTCGACATACAATTCTTCTATCCATACATTACATTTGACTACTTTTCCTCCTGCAGACATGGAATTCTTCTATCCATACATTATGTTTGGTTACTTTTCCTTCTTCAGGCACAGAAAGTTTATGATCAAGAAGAAAGCAAATGTCCACAGAGGCCCTACAGAATGGGCGCCAGAGTGGAGCCCATCAGTTTCATCAAACAGCGAGGCGGAAACAAACCAGCTAGGTCCCTGCAAGAACTAACGGGGGACAAACATGTCTTTCAGATGCTACACATGGCTTTTCTGTGGATTCTCAAAGCTTGTGGAAGTCGTATCACAGAGACCTTGTTGGAGGGGCCTCCCACAGAAGACACCATCATAGATATGGAGAAGCAAGAGGGTCAGTGTTTCTCTCTATCATTGTCTGCATATGTTGATTGGTAGAGAATAACTTATGTGCAGTGATAACATGATTTGAACGACAAAAAGTAGGCTGATAAATTTTCCCCATGTGGGTTCCGGGCCCCTGTTATAGGGAAAACAAGAATAGACCAACTACCTACTCAAAAGCATGTCGTAAGAGTCGACTAATTGGGAGCTTTCTTTAAAGTCGAAGTGCATCTGCCGGAGAGGCAAGGAACCAACAATCTGCACACAAATTAGTCAGATTTGTCAAACTGATGCACACGCAACACTCAAGTTCTGGAACAGGACTGCAGTCCAGAAGTGGACAAACAACCAAAACTTTCTGCCAGAGTTTACAGCTGGTGAACGTGAAGAAGAAGAAGTAGGGCTGAGATACTTCTAGCAGCAACTGATTAACAAATAAATAAAAGCATCATCAAAAAAGGGAAAGAAGAATAGTAACAATGAAGACCACAAAGATAACACTAACATCAGTCTGATAGCAACAGGAGAAGATCAGGGACAGACAGAAACACCTACACAATACTTTTTCTTTCATTTACTTGAAACATCTGCCTCTGCAGTGTTGTTTGTACTGTGAACTTCACTGTCTTTTGTAATTCATTCAGCCACCCGTAAAGTTTGCCTTGCATGGGTGTTTCTCTTGGCCAGAATTCTTGCCTTGATATGTTGTGATTGGAATCCGTTATTTCAGGTGTCAATCCACATGTGCACATGGCTTAAATTTTGTATACTGTTAAGTCTATTGTGTCCTGTTCTAAGGCATAGAATAATGACTGCTCTGATCTGTCAATAATATGGTAATGGTCTTGTGCCAGTTTTGGTGGCTTTCTGATTGATTTGATTATTCTCTTTTTCTGTTGGTAGGGGACTAGTTCATCAGGTTGTTTTCATTTGCACTTTCCTTAGCTAGTTTGTCAGCTCTCTCATTTCTGGGATCTCCACAGTGGGACCATATCTACTGCAAAGTTAGCTTACACCGGTTGCCTAGTTTGAGTGTCCATAAACCAGATAATTTTCCAGATTCCAGTGACTAAAGTACCAGTCTTGCATCTGTCAGAAATACCATCAGATTTACACAATACCAAAGCAGTTTACAGAAATACTCACATGCTGTCTAGTGTTATATACAACATTTCACAGGGTCATTATCTAATGTACTATACAACACTGGGTGGAGTCACTGCCTTGTGTACTATACTACATTGGGCGGAGCCACTGTTTTGTTCACTATACAACATTAGGTGGAGTTAATGTTTTGTGTACTATACACTATTGGACGGAATCACTGTCCTGTGTTCTATACAACATTGGACAGAATCATTGTCTTGTATACTATACAGTACTAGACAGCGTCACAGTCTTCTGTACTCTACAACATTGAATTAAGTTACTGTCTTCGTTACTGTACAGCATTGAATGGAGTCAGTGTCTTGTGTATTATACAACATTGGAAGGAGTCACTGTTTTGTATACCAGCGGTTTTCAAACATTTTTCGACACGGCACCCTTGTCAGGCAAAAATTTTTACGGCACACCATCCTTAAACCGGTTTTATTACTAACCAAAAGAAGGAAAAAAATGAACTTTTAATGTTCAGTTGTCTTTAATGCTCTGAATGAAACTGTTTGGATGAGTTTTGCACTATTTTCTTTATGTATCTGGAAAGTTTAGTTAACTTTACCCTCAAATCACTTGACCTAGAAAGTTTGCTCCTGTATCTATTTTTTATGTAAGCGTACGTTGAGAATGTCCTGCAGCCTTGCCATTAGTTTTGTCTGCTGAATACACCTGCATCCAGAACTCTTCTTGGCTTCCTTCATGTTATTTCTGTTTTAAACTGCTGTCTCTGCTGATCTCAAGCAGATTTTGAAACATTCTTGCTTATTGCCACGGCACCCCTACCTAGTGTTCTGTACGGCAGTGGATAGAGTCATTACTAGTGTTCTATACAGTAGTGGGTAGAGTCATTGCCTAGTGTACTATACAGTAGTGGGTAGAGTCATTACCTAGTGTACTATACATAGTGGGTAGAGTCACTGTCTAGTGTTCTATACATTAGTGGGTAGAGTCATTGCCTAGTGTACTATACAGTAGTGGGTAGAGTCATTGCCCAGTGTACTATACATTAGTGGGTAGAGTCATTGCCTAGTGTACTATACATTAGTGGGTAGAGTCATTGCCCAGTGTACTATACATTAGTGGGTAGAGTCACTGTCTAGTGTTCTATACAGTAGTGGGTAGAGTCACTGTCTAGTGTTCTATACATTAGTGGGTAGAGTCACTGTCTAGTGTTCTATACATTAGTGGGTAGAGTCATTAACTAGTGTACTATACATTTCAGTCCGAAGGAGAAGTACACTCAGGTGGTGCATGAGTGGTTACACACGCAGCCAAGAGAATTTCTTTTCTGCAGGAATCCAAGCATTTTATCCACGCTGGAGAACTTGCAACGACTGGAGTGGTGACTACACTGAAAAATTGTACATTGTAATTTTTCAGAATACATCCCCTATTGTCTCGTATGATATACAGTGTGGAACCGAGTCACTGCCTCGTGTACTATACATCAGTGGATAAAATCACTCTTGAGCCTACTATTCAATAATCAGCAGATTAGTTATATGCTCTCTAGTACACAAATTTTTTGGTGCGGGGGGAGGGGGGTTGTCACATGGGATAGCAAAGGATAGTACGATCTGGTTTCGAGCCCGGGACCTCAGCGCCACATGTTGTATTTATGGAAGCCTCCTTGTGTATGGATGGTAAGCAGTGCCCATGTTTTGTCCCTGCCTTCTCTTCAGGGCTGACCAGTCTGAGCATGGCTGCTCTGGACAAGTTCTAGAATGGCTTTTTTCATATCACATCACATCAAATCAATGGTGAAGGTTAACCTGATGAGGTGAACTAATGTCCTTTGAAGTCAGATGTGTCAACTGAAAAGTGCAAATATCGCAGCTGTGCTGTAAACAAGCACAATTACATTGCTGAGACAATGATGAAGAAAAAGAAGAAACTAGTGAATTAGGCATCACAGTTTGACCTGAAGCTGTGTACAATGCATGTGAAATGCCAATGAGACAGGATAACTGTCATTGAAGTCTGCCTTCACAAAGCATCGTTGAGCAACCAACCAGGCAATAAAACTGTTGACTTGCCATGTATCAGTTTGACCTGCAGCTATTTGCAATGCTTGTGAAACACCAGAGAGACACAATAACTGGCATTGAACTCTACCTTCACAAAGCCTTGTCAAGCAGCCAACCAGGCAATAAAACTGTTGACTTGCCATGTAAACAATCTTGAAACTGATTCATCTTGATATGCTCTTGCGTTTGTAATTGGTGTTTGGTATTTTGGTTGTATTTACAGGAATGGCATTATCAGCTGGCAGTGACTTCAGTTGTGTGACTGAAAACATACTGATGATAAAATAATTTAGTGCTAGAAATTACTCCGAAATCCATTTTACTGTGGCAGTTGAAGTTGGTTGGACAGGCATCAGATGAGGTTACTACCAGGTAATTAGTTTTACAACAATCGTGCCACACCACTAAAGTGAACCACATGTTTTGGATTTTTTTTTTTTTTCAGAAACCGAAGAAGGCTTCATTAAAATTTTTACTAGAAAAATTGATGAAGATGACGTTTTGAAGCATGGCCAGTTAGGAAATGCTAAGATGACAGAGATTAGAGCTCGACTCAGAGAATGCAGATGATCCTTTGTGTCCAGTGATAAAAAATCTCAGACAACTTCGAAAGGTGAGCAAGACAGTGCTGTTCAATTTTGGCTTCACTAAATATGTCTGATACGTAACATTCATTATAGTCACCTGATACAAAACTTACATTGTGTAGGTCTGATATATATGTTTTATTATATATTTGTGATACACGTCCAATATTATGTGTGTAGTACACAGCAGTTGTTATATGTGAGTTATACACAACCTTTTCATTCTATGAGTGTGTTACACAATATTTATTATAATTGTGTGGTACACAACATTTATTATGTGTGTGTGGTACATAGCTTTCACTCTGTGTGTGTTACACAACACTTATTTTGTGTGGTGGCACACAAGATTTATCATATGTGTGTGGTACGCAGTTTCCATTCTGTGTGTGTGTGTGGTACACAATATTTATTATATGTCTGTGGTATTCACCATTTATTATATGTGTGTGTAGTACGCAACATTTTTTTAGTATGTATGTGGCACACAAAATTTATCATATGTGTGTGGCACGCGATATTTATTATATATGTGTGGTACACATCATTTGTTATGTGTGTGTGTGGTGCACAAAATATCTATTTTGGTACACAAATTTTATTATATGTATGTGATACGCAACATTTATTATATGTGTGTAGTACACAACATTTATTTTATGTGTGTAGTACACAACATTTATTATATGTGTGTAGTACACAACATTTATTATATGTGTGTAGTACACAACATTTATTATATGTTTGTGGTACACAGCATATGTTTGTGTTACACAACATTTATTATATGTGTGTAGTACACAACATTTATTATATGTGTGTAGTACACAACATTTATTATGTTTGTGGTACACATCATATGTTTGTGTTACACAACATTCATTATATGTGTGTAGTACACAACATTTATTATATGTGTGTAGTACACAACATTTATTATATGTGTGTGGTACACAACATTTATTATATGTGTGTAGTACACAACATTTATTATACGTGTGTGGTACACAACATTAGTCTGCGTCTGTGGCTTACAACATGTCTGCAAAGTAGGTGCCATGGAATGTTTCTACAGAATAGAGACAGTGCCACATTGAGGCTCGTCAAGAAATTTTACGATGCTTTGAAGCAGAAGGTAATGGTTTCCTGTCAAAAATTGTCACTGGAAATAAAACCTGGGTTCCCTACCACAAACCAAAAATAAAAAGAGCGAGCAAGGAATGGCGCCATCACTCCTTACCGAAACAAAAGATCTTGTTACCGTGTGACCAGATTGGCATCAGACAGGGCACTACAGAGGGCAATGTTACAAAGATACAATGGTAACAAAACCAGAGGTCGACCACACAGAAGATGGACTACAGAAACATATCAAATAAGATTTATTATATGATTTATTATGGTGTGGAACATTGTGTAGAAGATATTTATATATGTGTGTAGTACACAACATTTATTATATGTGTGTAGCACACAACATTTATTATATGTGTGTAGTACACAACATTTTTTTGTAGTACATTTATTATATGTGTGTAGTACACAACATTTTTTATATTGTGTGTAGTACACAACATTTATTATATGTGTGTAGTACACAACATTTATTATATGTGTGTGCATACACAACATTTGAAGATGTAGACATTTATTATATATGTGTGGTGCATTGTTGTATTGTTTTGTGTTAACAACATTTAGATATGTGTGTAATACACAACATTTATTATATATTTTGTGCAGGTTGCATTACACAACATTTTTATATAGAGTGTAGTACACAACATTTATTATATGTTTGTGTTACACAACATTTATTATATGTGTGTAGTTTTATGTTGTTGCGTATCCTTTACAGTGCATTGTTGTAGAGAAGGCAAATTTACGGTGTTGCTTTCTGGACGGTCGATGTTGATATTGCAGGCCCGCAGCTGGGATCATTGTTGTAGAAGGTGTAGCAGATGTTTAGTACACAACGTTTATATATGTGTGTAGTACACAACATTTATTATATGTGTGTGTACACAACATTTATTATATGTGTTGTACACAACATTTATTATATGTGTGTTGTTATATGTGTGTAGTACACAACATTTATTATATGTGTGTAGTACACAACATTTATTATATGTGTGTAGTACACAGATTATATGTTGTGTAGTACACAACATTTTTTATATATTGTGTGTAGTACACAACATTTATTATACGTGTGTAGTACACAACATTTATTATATGTAGATAAAGTGTACACAACATTTATTTGTGATACACAACATTTATTATATGTGTGTGGTACACAACATTTATTATATGTGTGTAGTACACAACATTTATTATATGTGTGTAGTACACAACATTTATTATATGTTTGTGTTACACAACATTTATTATATGTGTGTAGTACACAACATTTATTATATGTGTGTAGTACACAACATTTATTATATGTGTGTAGTACACAACATTTATTATATGTGTGTAGTACACAACATTTATTATATGTGTGTAGTACACAACATTTATTATATGTGTGTAGTACACAACATTTATTATATGTAAGAGTCACAACTAATTATATGTTTGCTTCCTTTTAAGTCGGTAGTACATCTGCCTTATAGGGGTGTAGAACAACAGTCTGTATTCAAGTGAATCAGATCTGTAAATACTGATGCACACACAACACTCAAGTTATGGATGTAGGACTGCAGTTTAGAATGTGTGTGGAACAGCCAGAACTTTCCACCAGAGTTTACAGCTGGTGAACGCAAAGAAGAAGAAGAAGAAGATATTGCAGGTGCATTGTTGTAGAGAAGGTGTAGCAGATGTTTTATATTGCAGGTGCATTGTTGTAGAGAAGGTGTAGCAGATGTTTGATATTGCAGGTGCATTGTTGTAGAGAAGGTGTAGCAGATGTTTGATATTGCAGGTGCATTGTTGTAGAGAAGGTGTAGCAGATGTTTGATATTGCAGGTGCATTGTTGTAGAGAAGGTGTAGCAGATGTTTGATGTTGCAGATGCATCGTTGTAGAGAAGGTGTAGCAGATGTTTGATATTGCAGGTGCATTGTTGTAGAGAAGGTGTAGCAGATGTTTGATATTGCAGGTGCATTGTTGTAGAGAAGGTGTAGAAGATGTTTGATATTGCAGGTGCATCGTTGTAGAGAAGGTGTAGTAGATGTTTGATGTTGCAGATGCATCGTTGTAGAGAAGGTGTAGCAGATGTTTGATATTGCAGGTGCATCATTGTAGAGAAGGTGTAGCAGATGTTTGATGTTGCAGGTGCATCGTTGTAGAGAAGGTGTAGCAGATGTTTGATGTTGCAGGTGCATTGTTTTAGAGAAGGTGTAGCAGATGTTTGATATTGCAGGTGCATTGTTTTAGAGAAGGTGTAGCAGATGTTTGATGTTGCAGGTGCATTGTTGTAGAGAAGGTGTAGCAGATGTTTGATTTTGCAGGTGCATTGTTGTAGAGAAGGTGTAGCAGATGTTTGATGTTGCAGGTGCATTGTTGTAGAGAAGGTGTAGCAGATGTTTGATGTTGCAGGTGCATTGTTGTAGAGAAGGTGTAGCAGATGTTTGATGTTGCAGGTGCATTGTTGTAGAGAAGTTGTAGCAGATGTTTGATGTTGCAGGTGCATCGTTGTAGAGAAGGTGTAGCAGATGTTTGATGTTGCAGGTGCATCGTTGTAGAGAAGGTGTAGCAGATGTTTGATGTTGCAGGTGCATTGTTGTAGAGAAGGTGTAGCAGATGTTTGATGTTGCAGGTGCATTGTTGTAGAGAAGGTGTAGCAGATGTTTGATGTTGCAGGTGCATCGTTGTAGAGAAGGTGTAGCAGATGTTTGATGTTTCAGGTGCATTGTTGTAGAGAAGGTGTAGCAGATGTTTGATGTTTCAGGTGCATTGTTGTAGAGAAGGTGTAGCAGATGTTTGATGTTTCAGGTGCATTGTTGTAGAGAAGGTGTAGCAGATGTTTGATGTTGCAGGTGCATTGTTGTAGAGAAGGTGTAGCAGATGTTTGATATTGCAGGTGCATTGTTGTAGAGAAGGTGTAGCAGATGTTTGATGTTGCAGGTGCATCGTTGTAGAGAAGGTGTAGCAGATGTTTGATGTTGCAGGTGCATCGTTGTAGAGAAGGTGTAGCAGATGTTTGATGTTGCAGGTGCATCGTTGTAGAGAAGGTGTAGCAGATGTTTGATGTTGCAGGTGCATTGTTGTAGAGAAGGTGTAGCAGATGTTTGATATTGCAGATGCATTGTTGTAGAGAAGGTGTAGCAGATGTTTGATAGTGCAGGTGCATTGTTGTAGAGAAGGTGTAGCAGATGTTTGATATTGCAGGTGCATTGTTGTAGAGAAGATGTAGCAGATGTTTGATGTTGCAGGTGCATTGTTGTAGAGAAGATGTAGCAGATGTTTGATGTTGCAGGTGCATTGTTGTAGAGAAGGTGTAGCAGATGTTTGATGTTGCAGGTTCATTGTTGTAGAGAAGGTGTAGCAGATGTTTGATGTTGCAGGTGCTAGGCAGCTCTCAGTTCTTGACTTTGGCTCACCATGTGGTTGTGGGTAACCAGGTGATTGTTGTTGGTCGCCAGTGTCGTCTGGTCAAGTCCATCCTTGATGCTCTTAAGGTAAATATAACTATTCTTGACCCCTTTTTTTTTGGTCAGTACCAATCACCTGAAGGTCAGCAAATGATAGTACACATGCTGTCCTGAGTGTGAATTTAGGCTCATTGACATGGCTATTCTCCCCCGTGTGGGTTCCGGGGCTCCATTGTGGGGAAAACAAGAATAGACCCACTGCCTCCCCAAAAGCATGTCCTAAGAGTCGACTAATTGGGGAGCTTCCTTTGAAGTTGGAGTGCATCTGCCGGAGAGGCAAGGAACCAACAGTCTGTATTCAAGAGAATGAGATCTGTAAAACTGATGCACACGTAGCAGTGGACGAGCAACCAGAACTTTCCGCCAGAGTGTACAGCTGGTGAATGCAAAGAAGAAGAAGAAGACATGGCTAAATGTGCATGTGGAGGCGAATGAGTGAGAGACCTAGAGCTGTTAAAAATATGTGGGTCACCCCTTATATATAATTCCTTTCTCATTCTTTGTCTCTGTAACACACACACTTTTATGTGTGAATGTGCAAAAACATATTCTTTGCCTCTGTAATATATGTATTTACACACATACACGAACATTCTTTGCCTCTGTAATACACACACACACACACACACTGCCCCAATACACACATACACACACAATTTTCACTTTTAGCTGGACATTTTTCGAACCATGGTAGAATGTCTGACTGGATTTTTTTTTACAAAGGCAAAGAAGAAAAATTGCTGAAGATCAACATATTTTTCTTCACAACAGAAATTTGCCCTAAATGGTAAACACTGTGTGTGTTTATACACAAACACATGCGTGTGCATGTGCACACACACACACACACGCACGCACACACACAATCAATCAATCAATATTCTTGGTATTCCCTGTGTAGATTCAGGGTCCCCTGCCCCCCCCCCCCCCCCACCCAGATAAGCATACAGACTAATTATGGGTGTTTTATACGGAGCGGGAGTGCATCTACCTGAGAGGCGAGGAACCAGCAGTCTGCATATAGATCAGCTAGATTTGTAAAACAAGTGTGCAAACTCAAGTCCTAGAACAAGCCCACAAGTGGGTGGACAACCAGAACTTTCTGCCAGACTTCACAACCAATGAATGCTAAAAAGCAGAACTTTCTGCCAGACTTCACAACCAATGAATGCTAAAAAGCAGAAGAAATCAAGCATGTTCTCACATGTCCTTTCTCTATGTGCAGATTCTGCTTCCCAAAGGTTGCTGTCGTGTGATTGCTTACAGCAAGAGCTACCAGGAGTCATGGAAGTGCAATTTTCTTGGCCTGTCACCAGATGTTTCTCTGAGCCAGCTTGTCAACTCCTCCGAAATGTATGTCCTGTTGGAAATTGTCGATAGGCGGCAGCAGCAGCAGACCCCACTGGTGACAAGTGGCGCGGCTTGTCTGGGTATGCTGACATGGGACACTCCGCCAGACGAGGAAGATTTGCAGTTCACAAATTTGGAATTTAAATTAAGTGCTGTCGTTCTCCCACACAAAGGTAAACATTCAGACATAGTTTGCTTATATCACTTTTTGAGACTTTAATTGAATTACTTATAGAGACTTTAATAGTATAGCTTTTTGAGACCCATAATAGTATCACTTCTTGAGACTGTGATTGTATTGCTTCTTGAGACTCTGATTGTATCACTTCTTGAGACTGTGATTAAAACTATATTAAGACTATATGACCATGATTGTATCACTTCTTAAGACTGTGATTGTATAACATCCTGAGAATATGATTGTATCACTTCTTGAGACCATGACTGCCTCACTTCTGGAGACTGTGATTGTATCGCTTCTTGAGGCCATGATTGTATCACTTCTTGAGACTGAACATTTTTTGAAACATATGATTTTATCACATCTTGGGACCCTTGAGACTATGATTCTATCAATTCTTGAAACCTGTGATTGTATCACTTCTTGAGACCTGTGTGACCATGACTGTATCACTTCTTGAGACCTATGATTGTATCACTTCTTAAGACTATAATTGTATCACTTCTTGACACTATGATTATATCACTTCCTGAGACTATGATTGTATCACTTCCTGAAACTATGTGACCATGACTGTATCATTTCTTGAGACTGTGATTGTGTCATTTTTTGAGACTGATTGCAAATTCTTGAAACTGTGATTGTATCAGTTCTTGAGACTATCATTGTATCATTTCTTGAGTCTGTGATTGTGTCACTTCTTGAGACTATCATTGTATCACTTCTTGAGACTATCATTGGATCACTTTCTGAGGCTATGTGACCATGACTGTATTACTTCTTGAGACTATGATTATATCACTTAATGTGACTGTGATTGGATCACTTCTTGAGAATATGACTGTATCACCTTCTTGAGACTTATGATTGTAGAACTTCTTGAGACATGTTGTCATGATTGGATACCAAGCATCACTACATCAACATTCAGGGACTCATGGGATATATAACAGAACATTTATGTATGACAGAACATAATACCAGCTGTTTCATCTTTGACCGAACATATCTTTATGAAAGAACTTATACCAACTGTTGAATCTTTCATAGAACATGATACCAAGTGTTTGCATCTTTGACCAAATATGTATTTATGACAGAACATAATACCAATTGTTGCATCTTTGACCGAACATGTATTTATGACAGAACATAATACCAATTGTTGCATCTTTGACTGAACATGTATTTATGACAGAACATAATAACAATTGTAGCATCTTTGACCGAACATGTATTTATGACAGAACATGTATCTAGGACAGAACATGTTTTATCTGTGACAGAAAGTATTACTAACTGTTGTATCTAGGACAAAACATGTTTTATATGTGACAGAAAATATTAGTAACTGTTTGTTACTAGGACAGATCATGTTTTATCTGTGACAGACAATATTACCAACTGTTGTATCTATGACAGAACATGTTTTATCTGTGACAGACAATATTACCAACTGTTGTATCTATGACAGAACATGTTTTATCTGTGAGAGAAAATATGACCAACTGTTGTATCTATGACAGAGCATGTTTTATCTGTGACAGAACAAATTACCAACTGTTGTATCTATGACAGAGCATGTTGTATCTATGACATAATGTAATACCAACTATTATATATAACTAGATTCCTTTGTGACTTTAGTGCCTACTGTTCTATCCCGGATGGTGATGGCCTTGCAGAATGAGAACTTGAGTCTTCAGGTTGTTGATGCAGCTTTCACTTGTCTCAAAGAAGAGTGGATGAAGTAAGTTTTAGTAGTCTTCTCAAGTTTCTCCACACCAGTTGCTGAACTCATCAGCAAACGTGGAAAGGGTCAACATTACAAACAGTCACAAGAGTGGCCATTCCAGCAGAGTGAATATGTCTGCTCTGTCCGATACTTTTTCCCGCACCAATCATTAGTGCGGTGCTTGCCATTGGTCTGCTCGCTCATTTCCCTTAACGCCCGCATGACTCGGTGTGTAGATCCAGGTTCTAGCACACAGGAGACATTCTGGCAGAGTAGATATTATGGCACAGGAAACATTCTGGCAGAGTAGATATACCCACAGAATAGATATACCCACAGAGTAGATATTATGGCACAGGAAACATTCTGGCAGAGTGGATATACCCACAGAGTAGATATACCCACAGAGTGGATATACCCACAGAGTAGATATACCCACAGAGTGGATATACCCACAGAGTGGATATACCCACAGAGTGGATATACTCACAGAGTAGATATACCCACAGAGTGGATATACCCACAGAGTAGATATACCCACAGAGTAGATATACCCACAGAGTAGATATACCCACAGAGTGGACATTGTGGCTATAAAACTGCTTTATAATTGTAATAACTACATAGAATTGTGGGTGCTCCAGTAAAAAAAAACAGCTGTCATACAGAGAGGGGAGGAAAGGGGAGAGAGGCTGTCACACAAGAGGGTGGGAGGTTGTCATACAGAGAGGGGAGGAAAGGGGAGAGAGGCTGTCACACAAGAGGGTGGGAGGTTGTCATACAGAGAGGGGAGGAAAGGGGAGAGAGGCTGTCACACAAGAGTTTGGGAGGTTGTCAGACAGAGTGGCCGGAAAGGGGAGAGAGGCTGTCACACACAGTGGGGGGATGGGCTATCACAAAGACAGGATGCAGTCATACATAGAGGGGAGGAGAGTTATGAGCTATTGATATACCTCGGACTGAGTTGATTATTCTCCTTTTTTATAGCGTTCACCCTCTGTAAACTCCAGCAAAAAGTTCTGTTTGCTCGTATACTTTTAGAGTTTGATCTTGTTCCGGAACTTTTGTTTTGTGCGTACATCATTTTTACAGATCTGGCTTGTGTTTAAAGTCTACTAGCTCCTTGCCTCAGGCAGATGCACTCCATCTTTGAAGGAAACACTCCTAATTTATTGATCTTTAGCACATGCATGTAGAGATCGATTCCTCGCCCCCCCCCCCCCCCCCAAAAAAAAATAATGGGAAGTGAGTTGATATAAGGCTTCTGGCAGGTACCCAGGTATTTTAGGGTTTTGAACTGCATTATTCCTTGATAACTGGACTGAGGGATTTACTTACTGCTGTGATGCAGTTGATGCTTTGTTAGAGTTGATGCTTTGGTAGAGCTGATGCTTTATTAGAATTGATGCTTTGGTAGAATTGATGCTTTGTTAAGAGTTGATGCTTTGGTAGAGCTGATGCTTTATTAGAATTGATGCTTTTGTAGAATTGATGCTTTGGTAGAGCTGATGCTTTATTAGAATTGATGCTTTGGTAGAGTTGATGCTTTGTTAAAGTTGGTGCTTTGTTAGAGTTGGTGCTTTGGTAGAATTGATGCTTTGTTAGAGTTCATTTTGCAATAGAGTTATTGTTGTGATAAAGTTAATTCTTTGATTAGAGTTTAATATTGTTTACTTCCCAGCAAAGTCAAGGTATTATTTAAGTTTACCAAGGCAGGGGGAAACAGGAGTGATGACGACACCAGAAAATTGTTACAGGTAATGTATTCCCAGTGTACCAAATTTCTTCACATCACATCATCATCATTATTTACTATAAAGGTTCATTCCCAGGACAGTTTGACTGTGCCCATTGTCTCAGTTTTACATTTCACTGTTTCTCCGTTTTTACACTCTAATTTGACTGAACACAACTTTTACAATCTGGACAAACTTAACACATTATTTCTACAAGAAATATTAAACAAAAGTTTTACAGTCAGCCTAACATAAGTTTTTCAATCCAGTGTTACTAAAGACATAAATTTTACAGTCTAGTGTTACCAAAAACATAACTTTTACAGTCCAGTGTTGCTCAAGACATAAATTTTACAGTTTAGTGTTACTAAAAACATAACTTTTACATTCCAATGTTACTAAAAACATAATAGATAGAATTCACTATGTTGTGTCAGATGACAGAATTCACATTGTCATACCAAGTGAAGGAATTCATCATGTCAGATGAACAAATTGTTTTGCGTTGTAATAATTCTGTAATTGCAGCTGTGCTGTAGACGGGCACTTGCAATTGCGTCACTGCGACAAAAAAAGAATTAATATCATAGTATTCACCATGACATGTCAGATAAAAGAATTCACTGTTTCAGATTAAAGAAATCACCTTTTTGCTTTTAATTAAAAAATTCACAATGCCATGCCAAATGAAAGAATTTACCATGTCATGTTAAATGATAGCATCCACCATTTTGTGTCAGTTGAAAGAATTCACCATGCAATTTCATATGAAAGAATTGCCCTTTTTTGTGTCAAATGACATAATCCATAATGTCATGTCAGATGAAAGAATTCACCATATCATGTCATATGAAAGAATTCACCATATTATGTCACGTGAAAAGAATTCACTGTGTTGTGTCAGATGAAAGAATTAACCATTTCAGATAAAAGAATTCATGTGTCTACTAAAACCTTTGTCACCATCTGTGGCTTACAGGTTGCGAACACGGTTTATAATGCAGGGTTCGATCCTAGCTGCGGACAAATTGTCTTGGGTTGGTTTCGACAGTGGTACCAAATGCTGACCAGCATTCAGAAAGCAGTGGTAAACTAGTGAGAGTAAAATTTGCCTGGAAAAACCAATACCGCCAACAAATGCTGGGGTTGGTTCTGCAATATCCTGTAAACGATATGCAACTAACTTTCTTTAAGCTAAAACCTTTGCTCTTGTTGCAGATTGTTGGAGCACGAGAGGAGGATAAATTATTGCTCAAGTTCTGGATGACAGGCCTTAGTGTTCAGTACAAGAATCATATCCGGACATCCTCAGTTCACAGATAGATGGCAGTACAAGAATCATATCTGAACATTGCCGGTTCACAGATAGATGGCAGTATGAAAAAAATCATATTTGAACATCCTCAGTTCGCAGATAGACGAATCATGTGTGAAAATTTTTCATTCACAGATAGATCATATCTGAACATCCTCCATTCAGTTAGATGACAGTACAAAAATCATATCTGAACATTCTCAGTTCAAAGATATTGGCAGTACAAGAATCATATCCAAACATTCACAGATCAATGGCAGTGTAAGCCATACATCTCTAGAATCATCTCTCTGTTGCCAGCAAGCTTTTCCTAGTGTTTTCACCATTACATTTTAGGAGGTAAGATTGAAGACACAGAGTATAGGCTTGAGAGTTTATGGAAGGTAGAAAAAGAGATGTACAGGCAGAGATATTGTGGGGTGTATAGAATGTGTATGTAAATGAGAAGACTCAGGTCTAGCCTGTCACCTAGAGTGGGTTGTGTTGCAGGTGAACACATAAACGAAGATACTCTGATTTGTTACTGTAGTTATACAATAGAATCTCTATAAGTTGAATCCCCAAGGGACTGTAGCAAACTGATCAACTTTCTATCTACTTTTACCCCACCAGGACATCACACAAGCGATAAACACCCGATGACACGAAGTGCCACAATGCGGATGAGGATCACCGTGCAGATGCCCCAGAAACCTTGTTCAGCCATTAGACCATATTTATGGCCGTGCTATATCGCAGCCCTTGGCAAAAGCCAGAGTAGGGCTTTAAATAACGAAAAATTGCACCCCACAAGGAGAAGACAGGATCTAGAGTATAACTGGTCAACTTACAGAATGAAGCCTATTATACTGATACTTCCTTGAACAACTTATACTGGAGAATATAATCATAAACACTTGTTGTTTTTATTTTAGTTTTTATGGTTGAATCCTCCTTTCTATAAAAGACGGTTTGTCTCATTACAGATCCAAATAAGATTAACCCCCCACCCCCTCCTTTTTGTTTCTCTAATCCTGCCAACCATGAATAGAAAGCAGGGGCACTAGAAACTTGGAAGCTTAGGCAACTTTAGTGGCTCTACTCTTCTCTCTCTCTCCCCTCCCCCCTCCCCCCCCCCCCCATCTCTCTCTCTCCCTCCCATCTGTAAAAGAGCTGAGTCCTCCCAATATGTTTTTCTGTGTGTTGGTGCCTCTGTAAAAAACAGTATTGTCTATTGAAATGTTTCATATTAGTGTTAACAAAATTAGTATAAATCACCTGATCTTTCAAGTCTTTTAGAGTAAGGTCAGTTTTCAGTGCAGCTTGTTTAAACATCAGTCCAGGGACTTGGGTAACATCACACAGGAACAGGCTTAGCTCCTTCCCTCTTCAACCAGATAATTTGCTACAGGGGCTAATTGGACCTACTTAACCATGTATCATTGAAATGTTTTGTTTTGTGCATTAGCTTACTACACATTTCTGATATTTAATTACCCTCCTCCCCCACCCTGGTGTTTTGTTTTCTTTGTGGTAGCACATCTGGATGAAAAGAAGTACACCAGACCATTGGAACTTTTTAGTCATGTTATGTTATCACAGTTGTCACTGCACATTGGGCATTCCCAGTTGAACTTTTAAAATTTGGCAAAGTTAAGAATAGCCGGTCAAGTTATAGATATTGTGTGTCATATTTCACTGGTCAACATAACAGTTACAGAGGTAGTCAACATTTAGTAGTCCTCAACTGAGACTAGGTTGGTGACCAACCAGTCAATGAAAATGAGTTTAATTTCTGGAGGTGGTCGACTTAGGAGGTTCTCTGTAATTGTTACAACCCTTGTCTAGATGAAGCTGAGAATATTCACCAATTATATGCGCTAGATGAGTTTGATCCTCTTGTGAGAACAAGAAGGGGCCGCATTAGCGCAGTCTATAGGAGGCTCGCTTTCAAATCTAGCTGCGACTCGCTGCAGCCCATGGCTGGTGTTCGAAACCGGGCGATTCCCGGGGTTCACCCAGCCCTAGGAAATGGGTACCAGAGTTAACACTCTGGGGTAACTGGAAGAACGTCGCTGTAGCTATGGAGTTGCGTGCACATGACGACACAGGCGGACAATTCCTTATCAGCTGTCCGTACTGGTGGCAGAGCACTTATGGTTCATAACTGTGTAATGACGCTGGTTCACATCTCCCGACTTGACTTTACAAGAAGACTTTAATCAGAAAGAAACTTGAGCAAATAATGTCACATTGTTTGACAATGGACACATTCAAGAACAGAAAGCTTTTATTACTCCAAGACAAACACACAAAAACATTTCAGGGGAAAACAGCACATATTTGATGTAACAAGTCATCCCATACACCGGTTCAGCAAGTTAGACCAGATACACAAATCCAGTATCAGTATTTGTTACTGTAAATATTCTATAATTATGCCTGGAATTCAAATGTAAATATTCTATAATTATGCCTGGAATTCAAATGTAAATAAATTACACGACTTCTTGTACATATTCTGTGTTTTATTATATACTTATACTGCAGCTGTTGCTTCTTCTCTTCCTCCAGTTATCTCACTGAAAAGTAGGGGGGGGGGGGGGGGGGGAGATCTTCTGTGTTCTCTTTCTAGTGTGTTATTGAAACTGATCTTTTCTTTAAGGCTGTTGTGTTCTTAATGCCATCATGCTTTATTTTGAGTGGCCTTTCCCTTTGCTCTATGTTTACTGTATTTCTTCAGCATGCCTCTCTGTGCCAATTGCTACCAGGGTTTTCTTAGATGGCCAAACTATTTCATCTATTGCTCTTTATTGTATGACTGGTTTCAGGTCTAGTCTTTATTATTTTTAAACCTCCTCTTCCTGTTACTTCAGCTCCGGAACTGAGGCCCCATTGTTTAAATAGCCGAGTAATGTTGGTGTAGGAAGGAATGACCAGGTGAAACAGCCAAATAATGTTGGTGTAGGAAGGAATCAGCGACCAGGTGAAATAGCCAAGTAATGTTGGTGTAGGAAGGAATCAGTGACCAGGTGAAATAGCCAAATAATGTTGGTGTAGGAAGGAATCAGTGACCAGGTGAAATAGCCAAGTAATGTTGGTGTAGGAAGGAATCAGTGACCAGGTGAAATAGCCAAGTAATGTTGGTGTAGGAAGGAATCAGTGACCGGGGAAATAGCCAAATAATGTTGGTGTAGGAAGGAATCAGTGACCAGGTGAAATAGCCGAGTAATGTTGGTGTAGGAAGGAATCAGTGACCAGGTGAAATAGCCAAGTAATGTTGGTGTAGGAAGGAATCAGTGACCGGGGAAATAGCCAAATAATGTTGGTGTAGGAAGGAATCAGCGACCAGGTGAAATAGCCAAGTAATGTTGGTGTAGGAAGGAATCAGTGACCAGGTGAAATAGCCAAGTAATGTTGGTGTAGGAAGGAATCAGTGACCGGGGAAATAGCCAAATAATGTTGGTGTAGGAAGGAATCAGTGACCAGGTGAAATAGCCGAGTAATGTTGGTGTAGGAAGGAATCAGTGACCAGATGAAATAGCCAAGTAATGTTGGTGTAGGAAGGAATCAGTGACCGGGGAAATAGCCAAATAATGTTGGTGTAGGAAGGAATCAGTGACCAGGTGAAATAGCCGAGTAATGTTGGTGTAGGAAGGAATCAGTGACCAGGTGAAATAGCCAAGTAATGTTGGTGTAGGAAGGAATCAGTGACCGGGGAAATAGGCAAATAATGTTGGTGTAGGAAGGAATCAGCGACCAGGTGAAATAGCCAAGTAATTTTGGTGTAGGAAGGAATCAGTGACCAGGTGAAATAGCCAAGTAATGTTGGTGTAGGAAGGAATCAGTGACCAGGTGAAATAGCCAAGTAATGTTGGTGTAGGAAGGAATCAGTGACCAGGTGAAATAGCCAAGTAATGTTGGTGTAGGAAGGAATCAGTGACCAGGTGAAATAGCCAAATAATGTTGGTGTAGGAAGGAATCAGTGACCAGGTGAAATAGCCAAATAATGTTGGTGTAGGAAGGAATCAGTGACCAGGTGAAATAGCCAAGTAATGTTGGTGTAGGAAGGAATCAGTGACCAGGTGAAATAGCCAAGTAATGTTGGTGTAGGAAGGAATCAGTGACCAGGTGAAATAGCCAAGTAATGTTGGTGTAGGAAGGAATCAGTGACCAGGTGAAATAGCCAAGTAATGTTGGTGTAGGAAGGAATCAGTGACCAGGTGAAATAGCCAAGTAATGTTGGTGTAGGAAGGAATCAGTGACCAGGTGAAATAGCCAAGTAATTTTGGTGTAGGAAGGAATCAGTGACCAGGTGAAATAGCCAAGTAATGTTGGTGTAGGAAGGAATCAGTGACCAGGTGAAATAGCCAAGTAATGTTGGTGTAGGAAGGAATCAGTGACCAGGTGAAATAGCCAAGTAATTTTGGTGTAGGAAGGAATCAGTGACCAGGTGAAATAGCCAAGTAATTTTGGTGTAGGAAGGAATCAGTGACCAGGTGAAATAGCCAAGTAATTTTGGTGTAGGAAGGAATCAGTGACCAGGTGAAATAGCCAAATAGTGTAGGGAGGACCATGTTGTGCAGACGGGCACATCAGGAAGGAAATGAGAATGAAGGAAGAAATGATTGCAGAAAAGATGAGAGCTGAGTATCTGAGAAGAAACAGACTAAACACACATGCTGACAACAATGGTCCTGAAATCTCTTGCTATAATTGTAGAAGACCTAGCGGGTTTTGCTAGTCACACTCACTATCGCCATGGGCTATGAATCCCATGCCTACTCACAGCACAATATAATAGTCTTCTGGAAAGACGGAAAGTTGCCCAGAAATAGCCAATGGTGTTGACATAGTCTTATTTGTCTTTTAGTAGGATCTTCGCTCGATGGAAAGTTGACCATATCTGTCAATAGAATTCTCGACCGATGGATGTTTCAACCAAAATTAGCCATTAAATAGGAATCACATCAGCCCAACCCATCAACACCCAACATGTCATTTAAAATACTAAAAACACACGGACATAATAGACATACCAGACAGAAGTGGAAAATGCTAAAAATGACAATGAATATTTCCCTAAGGACTGATCAGTTATCCATTCGCGCCAGTTCTGTTGTGTACACGTTGACACTCTCCAGGTCATACAACACAAAGTAGACATGTTTCAGGGATGTGGTTTTGGCACTGCTGAAGTAGTCTCTGATGGATGCCAGGATGATCTGTGCTGCTGTTTGCTTGGGAAATCCTGCCCTGGAAACAGCGTTCAACATATATGTCCATTATTTGGATCCATAATTAATGGATCTACAACCAATGCCCAGTACTTGAATCTACAACTAATGTCCAGTACTTGGATCTACACCCAATGTCCAGTACTTGGATCTACAACTAATCTCTAGTACTTGGATCTACAACCAATGCCCAGCACTTGTATCTACAACCAATGTCAATACTTTATATTAAATAAAAACTTTTCTGCCTGACCATAATTTAAAATGCTGACAGCCAAGTTTGAACAGTTTACCAGCTGACAGTGAAGTTTGAACACTGTATCAGCTGACAGTGAAGTTTGAACCAGCTGACAGCGAAGTCTGAACAGTTTATCAGCTCACAGTGAAGTCTAAACACTCTTGTCAGCTGACAGTGAAGTTTCAACAATTTATCAGCAGACAGTGAAGTTTCAACATATTATCAAACTAAAGGAGACCACTATGTGTCACAAGGTACTACCTACCAACTTCACTCCTCCACATTTGTGCAAGTGTATTTTGTAACAGGTGGCAATGCGGAGGTGACATAGCCCAACTGTTTGAGTAAGAAGGAATGGTAAATAGTTTATGTAGCCAACAGTTTTGGAAACAGGAAGGAATAAGTGTCCAAAAGTAGCCAATGGTGTTGGACACAGAAAAGAGGGGAGCTCCAGGTTAAGTGGCCAAAACAAATTTGTGTAGGAAGGAATCAGCGTCCAGAGGAAGTAGCCAACAGTGTTGACATAGAAAAGAGGTGAGGTGAAATAGCCAAGTAATGTTGGTGTAGAAAGGAATCAGGGTCCAGATAAAGCAGCCAATGGTGTTGACATAGAAAAGAGGTGAGGTGAAAGAGCCAAGTAATTTTGGTGTAGAAAGGAATCAGGGCCCAGATAAAGCAGCCAATGGTGTTGACATAGAAAAGAGGTGAGGTGAAAGAGCCAAGTAATGTTGGCGTAGAAAGGAATCAGTGTCCAGAGGAAGTAGCCAATGGTGTTGACATAGAAAAGAGGTGAGGTGGAGGTGAAATAGCCAAATAATATTGATGTAGAGAGGGATCAGTGCTTAGATGAAGCAGCTAATAGTGTTGACATAGAAAGGGGGTGAGGTGGAGGTGAAATAGCCAAATAATATTGATGTAGAGAGGGATGTGCTTAGATGAAGCAGCTAGTGGTGTTGACATAGAAAAGAGGTGAGGTGGAGGTGAAATAGCCAAATAATATTGATGTAGAGAGGGATCAGTGCTTAGATGAAGCAGCTAATAGTGTTGACATAGAAAAGGGGTGAGGTGGATGTGAAATAGCCAAATAATATTGATGTAGAAAGGAATCAGTGTCCAGATGAAGCAGCCAATGGTGTTGATGTGGTTAGACTGGACAATGATCATAAAATGTGATACAGTGTAATAAATATTAATTTTACAAATACTAATAATAACTCATAACTCCACACAAAAAGCTGCAAATGTCAGTCAGCCCTACTTAAAAGTAAGTAAAGGAAAGGACCCTTTTCCACGCCTTTAGGCGTATAGGGCATATAGGGCTAGACCTATATTTTAAAGACCAATCGGTACAAGATGGGTGATGTGGTCAGCGGCCGCCTTTACTTCCCAGGACTGCACCGGGTACCCACTCAAGGCTGGATCGACCTGGGAGCCAAGGTCATTTTTGAAAAAAGTCATTCTTCGCCAGGGAGCGAACCCACGACCTTCCGATCCGCTGCGAGCATCTAGCTGCTCTGCCGCAGCGACTCCCACTTAAAAGTAACCCAAATGAAAAATCAGTGAAGAAAGAACAAACACATAAAAATACAAGATTGCAGAAGAAATGCTTAAAAAAATAATAATACAGTTGTAAAAGCAGACTTACCTGCCGCTGCTGATAGATGGCAAAGCTAGACTTTTCAGTTGCTTATCATCCGCTAGTTTCAGCACGTTCTTCACAGCCTTGTCTAGATGTTGTTGTGAATTGTTATCATTCCACTTGGGGCTGTTCACATGGATCACAAATTTAGCAGCAAAGTTATGCGCTGGACATATGGCAGCTGAAATACCCGGCACAATACAATAAAGTCTTTCCACAAAATAGTGTAACGTAAACTATCTGTCTTTAACCCTTTCACCAGGTAAACAATTTTAAAACTGACCTTTCCTATTTTTTTTCTTCCAAATGCATCCTTATATGATAATACACATAAACTGTACCCTAAACAATTATAGGAAGAAATCTGTAGTCTTGCTTAGTTTTTGCAAAATAAAATCCTCACCTGCACAGCCGTGGGGACAGCACTAGCCACTGGAATGCTCAGGCTCAAAAGACCCCTATGCCTACACCACAGAAGTGGTATATAAAGGCAGTAATTGGCAGTTGTTGTTTTTTAGCTCAGTTTTTAAAAAGAGGGTGAGAGACTGGCTGCTGCCACTCCTCTGGGCAGTGAGCTACTATATGGTAGAGTGGATGTGGTGAAGGCTCTTTGGGATCAAATGGACAGTGCAATAGAACAGACAGGGAATTCTTACATGGAAGACTAATTCAACATGAAAAAAAAGAAAAGTGGGGGGGGGGGGAACAGGGGTGTAAGTAGAGATTCTGGAAGATATTCAACACTGAAGGGGAAACAGAGGTGGACTTTTCATCAGGTTGCAACTGGTATAATAAGCATGTCAACTCTTCATTGGTTACTGAAGAACAGGAAGTAGCCAATGTGGGAATATCTCGAGTGCAGCAATGTCAATCCTTAATTCATTCATTCATTCATTCATTCATTCATTCATTCATTCATTCAGAGTTGTCAAATCCCTAGACCACCGAACAGACAGAAAAATATGAAGGCCACTGCTTCATTGCGGCTGTCAAGACACTAAAAATAATTATTTGTGCTCTTTTTTTCAATCAAAATTCACAAATACCAGAAAATTAAATTTGTTATATGAAGAGAAATAATCACTTAATACAAATGGAACAAAGAATTAATTGCTGTCCTTCCCTTTGACCAAAATAAATATGGTTTTGTTCACTTTCACATACAGCAAAGTGTTGATGTAATTATGCAAATAATTTGCAATTTTTCCAGCCCAGATAATAAATTGTGTGTGTGTGAATATATTTAGTCACACCCAACAAGTCTGTACAGTATGCAATTGTGGCCAGTCTGAAAGCTATTCTATAGGTGTAGTGACCACTGCCCAATGACTTCATGTCAATCTAAACCCATAAATGCTGGAAAAGTGTCAATCTCATGGTGAAATGGTTAACACAAGATAGCTGTATGACATATGATACACATATAGTTGTATGTTGTAAAATATTAGTGAAATCAGACAAACCACTTTTTGCTGATGACCAGGTCTCAATAGCAGATGTTGCACTGATGTGTGAAACAGCTGGTGTTCGACTCATGTACAAGAGCAGATGTTGCACAAACCTACCAGTTGATACGTTCTAATGTATACAAACCAAGAAAGTGGCACTAAACTGATGTTATTTTTTACTCAAAAATTTAAAGAAATCTTTCTTCCAGTGTCCCTCTATTCTACGCAGGCACCAGTTAATGAATGTTTGTAGTTTATTAGTAACTGTTTTAGTTGTTCTTCATGTTTCAGCTTCGTACAGCCGTACCAATCTGACATAGCCTCATATTTTAAGTTTAGTACCAGTTTTAATTTACTTACACAGATTTCCTAACACTATGAAAACTCTTGCCTTTTCAATTCAAATATTAATATTTCTATTATCCTCGACCCCACTCCTTCATCTACATAACTGCCTAAATAGGCATATGACTCCATCTTGGAATATGATATCACAAAGAGAAACAGGATTATTGTTTCTCTGTTTTATTTTCTTTATCTTTGTCTTTCTCCTATGGATTTTTAGAGTGGGATAGGACAGAAATGTCATCAGTAAATTCCGGCTGTTGCTGTTTTCATAATTCAGTCTGTTGCCAGTAAAAATAACTGAGGTGACAAGAGGCATCACTGACGTATCGGGCATAAACCAGGCACACAGTAATTTAGCAAGGTAACCAGATAATGTATAGAAAAAAATAGAAACTTAGTACAGAAGCAAACCAAGTAACCAGACACACCTTCGGTAGTAAACTAATTATCCAGATCTGCCTTCAGTGGTAAAACAGGTTACTGTACCCACCTTCAGTAGTAAAACAGGTTACTGTACCCACCTTCAGTAGTAAAACAGGTTACTGTACCCACCTTCAGTAGTAAAACAGGTTACTGTACCCACCTTCAGTAGTAAACCAAGTAACCAGACACCTTAACTAGTTAAAAAAGACCCATCTTCAATAGTAAACCAGATAACCAGACACACCTTTACTAGTTAAACCAGGTAACCAAACCCACCTTCAATAGTAAACTAGGTAACCAGACCTACCTTCAATAGTTAAACCAAGTAACCAGACCTTCCTTCAACAGTTACACCAGGCAACCAGGCCTACCTTGAACAGTTAAACCAGGTAACCAGTCCCATCTTTGGTTGTAAACCAGGTAACCAGACCTGCCTTCAACAGTTAAACCAGGTAATCAGACCCACCTTCGGCAGTTGCGATATTTCCCTGATTATTCAAGAGGTCATCAACTTCCTGCTGGAACTCCTTCCCTCCGGCTTTCTGGATGGCCTGACCTGGATGTGCACATGTTTTTGTCATTACATGAATCACAGCAACAAAACTAGATACAGCTAGGGTGCTACACCATGACACAACCAGGTACTACTGAGGTATTACACAGCAACACAACCAGATCCTTTTGAGGTACCAGACCACAACAAAACCAGGTACTACAACACAACTAGGTACTACACCATAACTGAAGTACTACAACACAATCATATACTACTGAGGTACTGTACAACACAACCAGGTACTACTGAGGTATTACACAGCAACACAACCAGATCCTTTTGAGGTACCAGACCACAACACAACCAGGTACTACACCACAACCAGGTACTACACCACAACAATATACTAATGAGGTACTACACAACACAACCTGGTACTACTGAGGTATTACACAGCAACACAATCAGATAATTTTGAGGTACCTGACCATGACACAAAACACAACCAGGTACTACACCACAACACAGCCAGGTACTACTGAGTACTACAACACAACAAAGCCAGGTACTACACCACAACCAGGCACTACTGAGGTACTATACACAACCAGGTACTACTGAGGTACTACACCACAACACAGCCAGGTACTACTGAGTACTACAACACAACAAAGCCAGGTACTACACCACAATCAGGCACTACTGAGGTACTATACACAACCAGGTACTACTGAGGTACTACACCACAACACAGCCAGGTAATACACCAAAACCAGGCACTACTGAGGTACTACAACATAATACAGCCAGGTACTACAACACAACATAGCAAGGTACTACACCACAACCAGGCACTAATGAGGTACTATACACAACCAGGTACTACTGAGGTACTACACCACAACATAACCAGGTACTACTGAGATACTACACAACATTATAGACAAGTACTACACTACAACATAGCCAGGTACTACTGAGATACTAGACAACATTATAGCCAAGTACTACACCACAACATAGCCAGGTACTACTGAGATACTACACAACATTATAGCCAAGTACTTCACTACAACATAGCCAGGTACTACTGAGATACTACACAACATTATAGCCAAGTACTACACTACAACATAGCCAGGTACTACTGAGATACTACACAACATTATAGCTAAGTACTACACCACAACATAGCCAGGTACTACTGAGATACTACACAACATTATAGCCAAGTACTACACTACAACATAGCCAGGTACTACTGAGATACTACACAACATTATAGCCAAGTACTACACCACAACATAGCCAGGTACTACTGAGATACTAGAACACAAGATAGCCAGGTACTACACCACAACCAGGTACTACACAGAAATACGATCAGGTACTGCTGAGATACAACACAGTCAGGTACTTCTGAGGTATTACAAAACAGCTAGGTACCACTGAGGTACTACAACACAACCAGGTACTACTGAAGTACTACAACAACACAACCAGGTACTACTGAAGTACTACAACAACACAACCAGGTACTACTGAAGTACTACAACAACACAACCAGGTACTACTGAAGTACTACAACAACACAATCAGGTACTACTGAGGTACTATACCACGTAAATAAATGGAGGGAGAACCCTTGAGGCCGTAGAAATATTAAATATATAATAATTTTTAAAAAGACAATGTACTGATTAGGACTCAGAAAGATAGCAGATCACACTAGACAACATAAAAGTTGAAAGCTATAGTACCGTGCCGGGAATCAAACTTGTCACCCACATATGGTGTGTGCCCCTCACTATGGAAACAAGTGTACTAAGAACATGACAAACTAGACACCCCTAAAAAGTGTCTTCATTGGCCATGTCTATCCAACATCTTAAAACCTACCAATTAAATCTCTTTCTTAAATGTTCATGTTTTCTAGACAAAGCATTGTGGTTTGCTGTGTTTGTAACTTCTTGCTGTGTTTGTTATTCGATCTATACTTAGTTAAAATAAATATCTGTAGTAATCTATGGTGCTATTTCAATGGTTTAATTTAACTTCTGTCTGTATTCCATAATTGTGGATTTCAATCTGTACGATAGACATGGCCATTGAAGATACCTTTTTTTTAATCGGGTGCCTAGTTGGTCACGTTCTTAGTACACTTGTTTCCATAGCAAGGCACACACACACCATTTGGAGATGACAATTTCAATTTTCGGCAAGATAGATTAGCTTTTCGACTTTTATGTGTTCTAGTGTGTCCTTCTAATCTCTATTTCTTTATATGAGTACCAATCAATACAATATATATATATATATATATATATATAAAAGAGGTACTACACCACAACCAGGTACTGTTGAGGTACAACACAACCAGATAACGAGATACAAGTGAGGTAGTGATTAGTGATGACTTTCCATACAGCATTCCGGACAGATCCATAGGTGCTTGGATCACCTCCTCCATAGCTCCACAAGATTAAAACGACTTCTGTGTTGATTAATAAAATGTTCCTTTGATGAAATGTCCATGTCTGGCCGCTCCAGGTTGTAGCCCCACATCCACCACCCTGGACAAGGATACTGAGTCCTGCTTGTGTGTCACAATCTTCTTCACGATATGCATCTCACTCGGCATTAATGATATCAGTCTTGTCCAGTGTCAGGCTGGTCACGGTGACCGCCTTGTCTGCCAGATAATCTCCACCTCAAAGATAAAGGTCAGATGAGTTATTCATAATGATTTAATGAGAGAATCCATCCTTGTCTGATAAAGCCAACCTGGATTTTCTTGAGCATATATATATATATATATATATATATATATATATATATATATATATATATATATATATATATATATATATATATATATATATATATATATTGAATCGCTCAGTGTGCAAGCATGTGAGAATTCTCAAGTACCCAGACATATCAAGACCTGTGATGCAGCCATGGTTTCCATTGTGAGGCTACTGGCTGTAACATACATTTGCCCTGCTCCGGGTGATTGATCATGCACCCATGTAAACCACAGCATCTTTAGTATCTGAGCCTCACAATTTCTGTCTGGTTCTGAATGTTTCCTCTATACAGTTCTGTTTTCTAACATATATAAATATTGTCCACTCTCTGCTGTGACCAATGGCTGTAGTCAATCATATCAGGTCAGTGACTGTAGCTGGAGATTTCAGATGTATTAGGATTACTCAGCCATGTCAGACACCCTTAAATAAACATTATAGCAGCCATGTCTGACACCCTTTACCAAACATTACTCAGCCATGTCAGACACCCTTAAATAAACATTATAGCAGCCATGTTAGATACACTTAACTAAACATTATAGCAGCCATGTCCGACACCCTTTACCAAACATTACTGAGCCATGTTAGATAACCTTATCTAAACAATACTGCAGCCATGTCCGACACCCTTTACCAAACATTACTGAGCCATGTTAGATAACCTTATCTAAACAATACTGCAGCCATGTCCGACACCCTTTACCAAACATTACTGAGCCATGTTAGATAACCTTATCTAAACAATACTGCAGCCATGTCCGACACCCTTTACCAAACATTACTGAGCCATGTTAGATAACCTTATCTAAACAATACTGCAGCCATGTCCGACACCCTTAAGTAGACATTACTGCAGCTATGTAAGGCACTTACCCACTTCTCCACCCATGTAGTATGTTGAGTTGGTTGGATTGACAATAGCATCTGCTAGTGTTTTCACCAGGTCTCCTTGCATCACAGTTAACTAGAAGAGAGGATGGAGTTGTTCAGTGATATATCAGTTAACTAGAATAGAGGATGAAATTGTTCAGTGATATATTAGTTAGCTAGAATAGAGGATGGAGCTGTTCAGTGATACATTAGTTAACTAGAAGTGTTGTTGGAATTGTTCGGTGATATATCAGTTAACTAGAAGTGAGGATGGAGTTGTTCGGTGATATATTAGTTAACTAGAAGAGAGGATGGAGTTGCTCAGTTAACATTTAGTTAACTAGCTATACACTGTAAATATGTTCCACACATAAATTCAACTTTCTACAGCCAGACATTGTAAATATGTCCTACATGTGAATTCAACTCTCTACAGCTGGACATTGTAAATATGTCCCCCATGCCAATTTAACTCTCTACAGTTGGACATCATTAATATGTCCCACACATAAATTCAACTCTCTACAGCCGGACACTGTAAATATTTACTACATGTGAATTCAACTCTCTACAGCTGGACATTGTAAATATGTCCCACATGTGAATTCAACTCTCTACAGCTTGACATTGTAAATATGTCCCAAATGTGAATTAAACTCTCTGTAGCCGTGCATTGTAAATATGTCCCACAAGTGAATTCATATGTCTACAGCAGTATATAGTAAAATGTGAATAAGTGAATACAGCTGTTTACTGCCATACATTGTAAATACATCCTAGAAGTGAATTCAAATGTCTGCAGCTGTATATTGTAAATATATCTGATAAAGTAAACTCAACACTTCAACTCTTTGAGTCCCAAGGAACACATCATACGTCCATGGGTTCCTACCTAGAAACCCAATTAACATATCATGCATCGATTGTATGCCTCTCTTTACTACCCCTTGGGCCTATGATGCTAAACCCACTGGGACTCAAAGACTTAAAGCTGTATACTAGAACAGTACAGTTTGTACTCAGCAGAAAAAAATGAATTTATAATCAGACTCACTTTCTGGCCATGCAAGAGCTTCTTCTCAGAAAGAGTCAGAAAACCTCCACTGCCATCAGGTATTGAGTCCGCCTGCAGTCAATAGATTTGGGTACACAATAGGCATGAAACAAATATAATTGATGTCTGCAACACTAAGTGGGACTATCTATTTTTTTTTTAAACCTGTGATACACAAAGTGATAATGTCTGTAAACTGTGGTACACCAAGTGGTAATTGTAAAAAATGTGATACACCAACTGGGGGTACAGGGAACTCCAATATTCATCCATGCCAATATTCATATTTTTTAAAAATGTGTCATGTTTTTCGTTGGTTTGATATTCGCTAGAAAAGTTATTCTTTGTCCTTTCTCCGACGTGGCCTGTGAGTGATCAGATGAGGCAACAAAAGATGATGGGCCAGTTCCCAGTGCTGAAAATAAGAAATGGCTGTCCACTTGGGCAAAAATGCAGTTTTTATTTGGGAAATGACACCTAAACATCACTACAGTTAATCAATGTATCAATTCATTTTATGACAATATGTTTGGATATTTTCAGAGCATTGTAGGAAACAAAACAAAACAAACAAAACTGAATAACTTCTTGAAAAAATCTGACTGCTGATGAATCGTCTGGGAATGTTGATGAATCATCAGGTCATCAATCACCGGAATTAACATTACCTGATGTCTAAATAGAAGGTGACTCCCCCTCCAGAGAATAGCAACTGTTTTTTCATCCAAAATGTAAATTTCTTTTTACAATTTTGTTTATGCATTTATGTAGGCCTATGGTATATTTATGTCACCAGGACAAGTAAATCTCTGTTACAATGATAAAGTAATAACAAGTACAGTGGTTAATATGCAATCAAAATGTAATTTGCAACAATTTCCTGAGATCAACTTTCAAGTGAAATTTTGTTGTTGTTAAATAATACACTTTGACACACTTGGCAAGAATATCTGTGAACTGTGGTACATCAAACAATAATGTATGTAACTTGTGACACACCAAGTGATAATGTCTGTACCTTGTGACACACCAAGTGATAATGTCTGTACCTTGTGACACACCAAGTGATAATGTCTGTAACTTGTGACACACCAAGTGATAATGTCTGTAACTTGTGACACACCAAGTGATAATGTCTGTACCTTGTGACACACCAAGTGATAATGTCTGTACCTTGTGACACACCAAGTGATAATGTCTGTAACTTGTGACACACCAAGTGATAATGTCTGTACCTTGTGACACACCAAGTGATAATGTCTGTACCTTGTGACACACCAAGTGATAATGTCTGTAACTTGTGACACACCAAGTGATAATGTCTGTAACTTGTGACACACCAAGTGATAATGGCTGTAACTTGTGACACACCAAGTGATAATGTCTGTACCTTGTGACACACCAAGTGATAATGTCTGTACCTTGTGACACACCAAGTGATAATGTCTGTAACTTGTGACACACCAAGTGATAATGGCTGTACCTTGTGTCACACCAAGTGATAATGGCTGTAACTTGTGACACACCAAGTGATAATGTCTGTAACTTGTGACACACCAAATGATAATTTCTGTACCTTGTGACACACCAAGTGATAATGTTTGTACCTTGTGACACACCAAGTGATAATGTACGTACCTTGTGGCATACCAAGTGATAATGTATGTAACTTTTGACACACAAAATGGTAATGTCTCTACCTTGTGACACACCAAGTGATAATGGCTGTAACTTGTGACACACCAAGTGGTAATGGCTGTAACTTGTGACACCCCAAGTGATAATGTCTGTAACTTGTGACACACCAAGTGATAATGTCTGTAACTTGTGACACACCAAGTGATAATGTCTGTAACTTGTGACACACCAAGTGATAATGTCTGTAACTTGTGACACACCAAGTGATAATGTCTGTATCTTGTGACACACCAAATAATAATGTATGTACCTTGTGACACACCAAGTGATAATGTATGTACCTTGTGACATGCCAAGTGATAATGTCTGTAACTTTTGACACACAAAATGGTAATGTCTTTAACTTATAGCACACCAAGTGATAATGTCTGTAACTTGTGACACACCAAGTGATAATGTCTGTACCTTGTGACACACCAAGTGATAATGTCTGTACCTTGTGACACACCAAGTGATAATGTCTGTAACTTGTGACACACCAAGTGATAATGTCTGTACCTTGTGACACACCAAGTGATAATGTCTGTACCTTGTGACACACCAAGTGATAATGTCTGTAACTTTTGACACACCAAGTGATAATGTCTGTAACTTGTGACACACCAAGTGATAATGGCTGTAACTTGTGACACACCAAGTGATAATGTCTGTACCTTGTGACACACCAAGTGATAATGTCTGTATCTTGTGACACACCAAATAATAATGTATGTACCTTGTGACACACCAAGTGATAATGTATGTACCTTGTGACATGCCAAGTGATAATGTCTGTAACTTTTGACACACAAAATGGTAATGTCTTTAACTTATAGCACACCAAGTGATAATGTCTGTAACTTGTGACACACCAAGTGATAATGTCTGTACCTTGTGACACACCAAGTGATAATGTCTGTACCTTGTGACACACCAAGTGATAATGTCTGTAACTTGTGACACACCAAGTTATAATGGCTGTAACTTGTGACACACCAAGTGGTAATGGCTGTAACTTGTGACACCCCAAGTGATAATGTCTGTAACTTGTGACACACCAAGTGATAATGTCTGTAACTTGTGACACACCAAGTGATAATGTCTGTAACTTGTGACACACCAAGTGATAATGTCTGTAACTTGTGACACACCAAGTGATAATGTCTGTATCTTGTGACACACCAAATAATAATGTATGTACCTTGTGACACACCAAGTGATAATGTATGTACCTTGTGACATGCCAAGTGATAATGTCTGTAACTTTTGACACACAAAATGGTAATGTCTTTAACTTATAGCACATTAAGTGATAATGTCTGTAACCTATGGCACACTAAGTGGTAATGACTGTAACTTGTGACACACCAAGTGATAATATCTGTAACTTATGACACACCAAATGGTAATGTCTGTAACTTGTGACACACCAAGTGATAATGTCTGTACCTTGTGACACACCAATGATAATGTCTTTAACTTATAGCACATTAAGTGATAATGTCTGTAACTTGTGACACACCAAGTGATAATGTCTGTACCTTGTGACACACCATGATAATGTCTTTAACTTATAGCACATTATGTGATAATGTCTGTAACCTATGGCACACTAAGTGGTAATGTCTGTAACTTATGGCACACTAAGTGATAATGGCTGTAACTTATAGCACATTAAGTGATAAGGTCTGTAACTTATGGCACACTAAGTGATAATGGCTGTAACTTATAGCACATTAAGTGATCATGTCTGTAACCTATGACACACTAAGTGATAATGGCTGTAACTTATAGCACATTAAGTGATCATGTCTGTAACCTATGACACACTAAGTGATAATGGCTGTAACTTATAGCACATTAAGTGATCATGTCTGTAACCTATGACACACTAAGTGGTAATGGCTGTAACTTATAGCACATTAAGTGATCATGTCTGTAACCTATGACACACTAAGTGATAATGGCTGTAACTTATAGCACATTAAGTGATCATGTCTGTAACCTATGACACACTAAGTGGTAATGGCTGTAACTTATAGCACATTAAGTGATCATGTCTGTAACTTATGGCACACTAAGTGATAATGGCTGTAACTTATAGCACATTAAGTGATCATGTCTGTAACCTATGACACACTAAGTGGTAATGTCTGTAACTTATGGCACACTAAGTGATAATGTCTGTAACCTATGACACACTAAGTGGTAATGGCTGTAACTTGTGACACACTAAGTGATAATGTCTGTAACCTATGACACACTAAGTGGTAATGGCTGTAACTTGTGACACACTAAGTGATAATGTCTGTAACCTATGACACACTAAGTGGTAATGTCTGTAACTTATGGCACACTAAGTGATAATGTCTGTAACCTATGACACACTAAGTGGTAATGGCTGTAACTTGTGACACACTAAACCATTTTTTTTTACCCCAAAAAAAGAGACCTACGTAGGAATTCAAATCATCTAAGAATACAAACGATCAAAAATTCATTTGTTTTATATACCTGACTAGTATGCTTTTGGCAGTCAAAATGTCCAACAGTTCAAATTATAGAAGAATTCAAATGTCCAACAACTCAAATTAACTGAGAATACAATTGTACAACAATTCAAATTATAAGAATACAAATGAAACAAAATAAAACCTTTTTTGGCTTTCCTGTGAAGGTAGCCACCCCAGCGACAGCTGCAGCTTTGGGTTTCTTGGGTTTCAGTTTCTTTGCTGCTTTTAGACTGAATGGGTTTGTTGCTGCAGATGTTGTTGCAGATGCTGCTGCTGCTAACTTTTTACGAGCTGGTCCGTACAAGACTGCATGAATTTTGGGAACCACTCCACCCTGTGCTATAGTGACATTCTTCAGCAACTAGAAAAATAATAAATTAGTAATTACTGACATAATACATAAACTATTCCAACAATAAATAAATTCACTGAAAAAATATATCTTTTTCTTTGTGTGTGTGTGCGCGTGCATGCACAAGTGAATGTGAGTGTGAGAGTGTGTGTGTGTGAGAGAGAGAGAGAGAGTGAGTGAGAGTGATAGAGAGAGAGTGTGTGTGTGTGTGTGGGTGGGGTGGGCAGGCGTGCATGCATGTGTGCACACGTGCGCATGCACACGTGAGTGTGAGTGAGAGAGTGTGTGCGTACGTGTGTGTGTGTGTGAGTATTTGCTTTGTGCTGCTAAACATCTCAGTTTAACAGTTGACAGGCAGGCGTGCATGCACACGCGAGTGTGAGAGAGAGAGTGTGTGTGCGTGAGTGCGTGTCAGTTTGGCTTTGTGCTGCTAAACATCTCAGTTTAACAGTTGACAGGCAGGCGTGCATGCACACGCGAGTGTGAGAGAGAGAGTGTGTGTGCGTGTCAGTATTGGCTTTGTGCTGCTAAACATCTCAGTCTAACAGATGACAGGCAGGTGAGCCAGCACACACTCGGTTGCTTGGCATGCTGTGAAGTCTCCAGCTGTCAGTGATGGCATCGTTCCTCTTCTTGTTGGCCTTTCTCTGCATCTTACATTAAACATTTTCATGTTGTGCCCTCTCGCTGCTGGCATTACTTAATATATTATCAGTAGGTAGCTGAACCATTTCAGTCTTTTTTTCTCAATGAATTTAACAATGGGTATTGTTCCAACAGTTTTTCTAATCTCTTTCATGATCTTTTCTCATTTTCTCATGGCCTATTTGCTCTTGTTCTGTTTGTGTACACTTTCTAGAGTGTTTTTGTGAAAATTGAAATTTACTGCTGGCTTTCTGAATGAGCTCATCTATCACCTATCATGCACATCTTTACGCTCATCTTTGAATTTCCTGAATCGATTCTTCACAGAACCGCCACTTGTAATGTCAGCACTATATACATGACACAATCGATGAGGAATCTCTGTGGCATTTTGATCTTCCGATTAAAGAAAATGAACTAACTTAGTCACTCATTGTCTGTTCTCCAAGCACTATCAAGCAAAAAAACAAGACAAACTAATTGCAGATCTAAGGACCAACATTGGCTTACTCTCCAAGGAAGCAGTACTGGTCTTGCAGTGGATACCAGCCCGCTGTGGTATTCAAGGAAATGAGAGAGCAGATGAATTGGCCAAAGCTGGGAGTAATCTTCCACAACCTCATCCACCACACAGCTACAAGGAAACCAAAACAGCACTAAAGCAGTCTTTCAAGCGGGAGTGGAGAAAGCAGAATAGAGATTACAGACCAGAGAGTGACAGCATAAACAATCTCAACAGGAAAGAACAAACATCAATTTTTAGACTTCGGACTGGACACTGTGGTCTTCGAGCACACCTGTACAGGATAGGCATAAAAGAATCTGCTGCCTGTGATTGTGGAGCATAAAGACAGACCCCTGAGCACATACTGCAGTACTGCCCTTACCTCTCCCAGCAAAGAATGTGGATCTGGCCCAGGGGATCCACATTGCGAGAGAAGCTATGGGGGACCGGTGGCGACCTTAAACGCACAATCCTATTTTTGACCCAGACGGGACTCAATGTGTAGCATGACTGTTGTCGAACGCAGAAGAAGAAGAACCACACCATGATTTTCACAGCTGGTGGCAAAGGCAATAACAGTGTCCATGTTTATTTGTTTGCGATTCGTGAACCACTGAACAAATGTGAGTGTAGGTTGATGTTTAGTGAACTAAAAGACTACTGAATGTTGCTACAGTGTTGCTGTAGCAAACGGTTTGTTTTCACCAGCCAATCAGAGCTTGATTTGGAAATAGCCCTCAAGTCTCACTAGTATGCCTGTGGTAGTTACATGTCCAAATGTGTTATTTCTCCAAATGTGGAATATGTACAACTAGTATGCCTGTGGTAGTTATATGTCTAAATGTGGTATATGTCCAGCTAGTATGCCTGTGGTAGTTATATGTCCAAATGTGGTATATGTCCAGCTAGAATGCCTGTGGTAGTAATATGTCTGAATTTGTTATATATGTTATTTATTATGTGTTCCATATCTAACATGTATGCTTGTGATAGTCACATGTCCAAATGTGTTGTATGTCTGACTAGTATGCTTGTCGTAGTTATATGTCCAAATGTATTGTAAGTTCAACTAGTATGCTTGTGGTAGTCATATCTTGAATGTGCTATATATCTGGTCCGACTAGTATACTTGGGGTCGTTACACGTCCTAATGCTGTTATATGTCTGACTAGTATGCCTGTGTTAGTTATATATTTAATATGTTATACATCTTGTCTGATTAGTATGCTTGAGGCAGTTATATTTCCAATGTGTTAAATGTCTGATTAATATGCTTGGGGTAGTCATATCTTGAATGTGCTATATATCTTGCCTGACTAGTATGCTTGTGGTAGTTATATTTCCTTAAGTGTTATAAGTTCGACTAGTATGCATGTGTTAGTTACATGCTGAATGTGTTATATATCTTGTCTGATTGCAAGTTATATTTCCTAATGTGTTATATGTTTGACTAGTATGCAGGTAGTAATTATATGTTAAATGTGTTACACATCTTGTCTGACTAGTATGCTTGTGGTAGTTATATGTTCAATGTGTTATTTGTCTGACTAGTATACTTGTGGTAGTTATATGTTGAATGTGTTATATGTCTGGCTAGTATGCTTGTGGTGTTTATATGTTGAATGTGTTATATGTCTGACTAGTATGTTTGTGGTAGTTATATGTTGAATGTGTTATTTGTCTGACTAGTATGCTTGTGGTAGTTATATGTTGAATGTGTTATTTGTCTGACTAGTATACTTGTGGTAGTTATATGTTGAATGTGTTATATGTCTGACTAGTATACTTGGGGTGTTTATATGTTGAATGTGTTATTTGTCTGACTAGTATACTTGTGGTAGTTATATGTTGGATGAGTTATTTGTCTGACTAGTATACTTGTGGTAGTTATATGTCCTAATGCTGTTATATGTCTGAGTATGCTTGTGTTAGGTATTTGTTGAATATATTATTCATCTTGTCCGATTAGTATGCTTGAGGCAGTTATATTTCCTAATGTGTTAAATGTCTGAATAGAAAGCTTGGGGTAATTATATTTCCTAACGTGTTGCACATCTTGTCTGATTAATATTCTTGTGGTAGTTATATGTTGAATGTGTTATTTGTCTGACTAGTATACTTGTGGTAGTTATATGTTGAATGTGTTATTTGTCTGACTAGTATGCTTGGGGTGTTTATATGTTGAATGTGTTATATGTCTGATTAATATTCTTGTGGTAGTTATATGCTGAATGTGTTATTTGTCTGACTAGTATACTTGTGGTAGTTATATGTTGAATGTTTTATATGTCTCACTAGCATGCTTGTGGTGTTTATATGTTGAATGTGTTATATGTCTGACTAGTATGCTTGTGTTAGTTATATGTTTAATCTGTTATATGTCTGACTAGCAAGCTTGTGGTGTTTATATGTTGAATGTGTTATATGTCTGACTAGCATGCTTGTGGTGTTTATATATTGAATGTGTTATATGTCTAACTAGCATGCTTGTGGTGTTTATATATTGAATGTGTTATATGTCTGACTAGCATGCTTGTGGTGTTTATATATTGAATGTGTTATATGTCTGACTAGCATGCTTGTGGTGTTTATATATTGAATGTGTTATATGTCTGACTAGCATGCTTGTGGGGTTTATATGTTGAATGTGTTATATGTCTGACTAGTATGTTTGTGGTAGTTATATGTTGAATGTGTTATATGTCTGACTAGCATGCTTGTGGTAGTTATATGTTGAATGTGTTATATGTCTGACTAGCATGCTTGTGGTAGTTATATGTTGAATGTGTTATATGTCTGACTAGCATGCTTGTGGTAGTTATATGTTGAATGTGTTATTTGTCTGACTAGCATGCTTGTGGTAGTTATATGTTGAATGTGTTATATGTCTGACTAGCATGCTTGTGGTAGTTATATATTGAATGTGTTATATGTCTGACTAGCATGCTTGTGGTGTTTATATGTTGAATGTGTTATATGTCTGACTAGTATGTTTGTGGTAGTTATATGTTGAATGTGTTATATGTCTGACTAGCATGCTTGTGGTAGTTATATGTTGAATGTGTTATATGTCTGACTAGCATGCTTGTGGTAGTTATATGTTGAATGTGTTATATGTCTGACTAGCATGCTTGTGGTAGTTATATGTTGAATGTGTTATATGTCTGACTAGTATGCTTGTGGTAGTTATATGTCCAAATGCGTTATAAGTCTGACTAGAATGCAAGCAGTAATTGTATCTTGCATGTGTTATATATCTTGTCCAACTAGTATGCTTATGGTAATTATATTTCCTAATGTGTTATATGTCTGACCAGTACGTTCAATGTGCTACATATCTGGTCCAACTAGTATGCAAGTGGTAGTTATATTTCCGAATGTGATATATCTCCGAATGTGTTATAAGCTCGAGTACTATGCTTATGGTACTTTTTGTCCTATGTAGATTTACGTCCAAATAGTATGCTTGTATTGGTTTTATGTCCGAATGTGTTATATATCTTACTAGTTATATTTCCGAATGTGTTATATATCTTACTAGTTATATTTCCGAATGTGTTATATATCTTACTAGTTATATTTCCGAATGTGTTATAAATCTGACTAGTATGCTTGTGGTGGTTATATGTCTGAATGTGTTACATATCTGACTAGTGCGCTTGTCGTAGTTGTATGCCAAATGTAGTCATACGTCCAAATAATATGCTTGTAGTGGTTATATGTCTGAATGTGGTAAAGGTTCAAATAGTATGCTTGTGGTGGTTATATGTCAACTGGTTTTTTGTCTGAATGTGTTATAGGCCTAAATAGTATGCTATTGGTAGTTATTTGTGAAATATGTTCTATGTCTGAATGTGTTATAGGCCCAAATAGTATGCTTTTGGTAGTTATATGTGAACTTTGTTATATGTCTGAAAGTGTTAGAGGTCCAAATAGTCTGCTTGTGGTAGTTACAAGCCTTTTGGATAGGATTTTTTTCACTGATCTGAGTTCCCAGTTTGTGTATCCTTAATAAGTACTAGGAAATTCTCTGGGAAGTAAAGGTTGGATGCATGACACTGACCATACTCACTGAGTGTGGCATGGTTTATAACTATAGGCTAGCACTAGATGCCCAGTATTTTGAACTGCGGTCATAGATTTTGATAACTCTGTGGGAATAATAGATTTGGATGATGTGGGAATAACAGATTTGTATGATGTTGTGGGAATAACAGATTTTGATAACGTTAAGTCACATTCTGCCAAGAAATTAATTAAACAGTATGCTCTTTAACTCTAGTGAAACAACAAGCTACAATGAAAATTCTTATCAACACACTTCAGGAATTAAGAGTGTCTAATCATATGAAATCTAGTAAGGTCTAATTGTAAGTGAATGTTCTGTTATCGAGCTTATTGCTAACGTTTTGGTTTTTGCCAACACACAGCTCAGAGTACTGGCTGTTAACTTGGCTACTCACTTGGTGCAGCTGGAAATACTGGCTGTTAACTCGGCTACTCACAGCTGAGAGTACTAGCTGTTAACTTGGCTACTCACAGCTGAGAGTACTGGCTGTTAACTCGGCTACTCACAGCTGAGAGTACTGGCTGTTAACTTGGCTACTCACAGCTGAGAGTACTGGCTGTTAACTTGGCTACTCACAGCTGAGAGTACTGGCTGTTAACCCGGCTACTCACAGCTGAAAGTACTGGCTGTTAACTTGGCTACTCACAGCTGAGAGTACTGGCTGTTAACCCAGCTACTCACAGCTGAAAGTACTAGCTTTTAACTTGGCTACTCGCAGCTGGGAGTACTGGCTGTTAACCCGGCTACTCTCAGCTAAGAGTTCTAGCAGTTAACTTAGCTACTCACAGCTGGGAGTACTGGCTGTTAATTTGGCTACTCACAGCTGAGAGTACTAGCTGTTAACTTGGCTACTCGCAGCTGGGAGTACTGGTTGTTAACTTGGCTACTCCCAGCTGAGAGTACTAGCTGTTAACTTGGCTACTCACAGCTGGGAGTACTGGCTTTAACTTGGCTACTCACCTGGTGCAGCTCGTCGTCATTAGAAATGGCCAGTAAAATGTGTCTGGGAGTAATTCTGCCACGTTTAAACTCTTTGGCTGCATTTCCGGCCAGCTCCAGGATTTCCGCTGTAAAAACACCACCATGTCAAATCAAAGCCATAGCCTAAATTTCACCTGTCTTCTGATTAAAGCACAAACTCATGTCTATCTGTCAGCTATTTATCAAAGTATTGCCTTCTATTTACCTGATCAAGGTGTGGGTCAATTACAGGTTATGATGTTGCCTCATCAACACAATCCTTGAACAAATGGTGAAAATAATATCCCTTCCACACATTCTTGAACAAGAAGCTGTGTCTATTTGACTGAAGAATTTCAACTGTCAGACACTGATCTCATTCACATTGAACTGTACTTATAACAGTAATATCACTCTTAGTGTTTTTCATCTTCTGCGTTATTCCTGTGAGTGACTTAAATTGTGTTGTACCTATTTACAGCATAGATGGGACATTTGCGGCTTTCGGCCGATACATCCAACTTTTTTTTTATAAGCATTTGTTTTCCTGGTTAGCTTTTCTAGTAACTTCTGTAAGAATATTACACAGCCTCAATCGTCCAGGTCATTTTTCTTCGTTATCATTGCATAGAAAGTCCTGTACAGTCAAATTTTGTTAACTCAAATAATTGGATTAGCTAAATGCAAAGATGAATCTTCTTCACTTCATCTGTTACCGCTGTGGGTGTCGAGGGATATATAAGGTTCTGTCTCTAGCTCTTCTGGCCACCTCGACCACAGGCACATCGTGCTGTTGTAGAGTTTCTCTGATGTTATCCTTTCATATTGTTCTTGGTCTACCTCGTGCTCTATGTCCTTCTTCTCTTTCCAAATATGAATACCAACTATATATGTGCTGATGTTTAAGTCAAACTGTTTAAATCACACACAAAAAACAATATTCACTAATTAATTGTTTCATGCAAGAATTATTTTTAGTCAGTCTGGAAAAAACATGAAATCTAGCAGTCTCTCTACATATCAACAATTCGCGGGTGGCGGCTGAAAGTTTACTACTTTAACCTCAAAAACAAAAAAAGACTGAGCTATTGGAAGAGACTGAACTGTATGGTTTTCCAAGATCAACGCTTTAGGGCATTTGAAAGCGTAAAGACAACTACGTAAAATTGTTTTTCAAATGTCAAATCAACGGAAAGCTAGAATAGTCACATATGATTTTTCTGATACTGCCCTTCTAAAATGGTTTAGTGTGCTTAGTTCAGCAAATGTATCCATAAATGGGCCAATTTACTCTTGCAAAAGCAGATAAATTAGCATGTCTTATAGGTCAGACAGACAGGAAATGCAGTATAGACTTTGTCTTTAATTAATTTAGGAATATTTAAATAGTTCAGCTTTCTAGATTAAATTAATAATTCAATATTTCTGATATTGAATTGCTGTTTATCTGTAAACTGATGGTGTTCCCCCAAGTGGTTTTACTCAATGCTATTAGTGTGCTATGTGTGCTACCTGGACAGGACAAATTCCTGATAGGTGAACATTTTCCTTAGATCCCTGTGACTTCTAGTCTACTTATACAGACTTCACTGTACCCAGCCTTCAACTCATCACAAGTAGTAGTAATTTTTTTCAACAAATATCCTGTTCAGCCCTCAGGGTTACAATTGGGATAACAGTTCTTAGAGTACATATTTGTTATATTTATATATCACGTAATTATTTATTTAATCAATATTGTCACAAGCCGTAAATGACTAAAACAACATGCAGTCATTCTCTGTATCTTTTTCTGGACATAAAAAGTGGTTTCATATTGTTGATTCACAGGAAACAACTAATTCGAATTGTCAGGCACAACTGTCTTACGGTTGTACCTCAGAGACGATTGTACCCGCCAGACGGTGACGACGACGACACTCCCACCTAGTACGGAAACTGTGTGGCGGACGTTGTCCGGTCCGTATCATATTTAACATCGCTCAGGAATTTCTTACATATTGTTAATTGGGAGGAAAAAAAGAAAGAAGAGAACTAACCAACGAGGTACTCTATGACGGCCGCCGTGTAGACGGGAGAGCCGGCCGCAATACGAAAGTGGTGCGTGTCCCGCCTCAGATACCTCAGCACCCGAGCTACGGGGAACAGCACCCCAGCTCTGGCAGATCGCGACAAGACCTTCTGTTTTTTCTTGCCTCCCCTGGCAGACATTCTCCTCTGTTCTTCTTTAGTCGACAACTGCAGTTTCCTTCCACGATCCTCTGTTGGCTACCAGGCATAAACGTCCTCGATGATTGACAGTGTCAATTTAGCAGGGACAGGTTGCAGACAACCTCCATTTGTGGGCCAAAGGTCGGCTCCGCGATGAGAGGCACACAGACTTCGCGGATTCATTGATCCTACGTTCAGTTCAGATCAATTCAGAACTGACACATCACAAATAAGACCTGGACGCCCTTGCCCTCCCAGAACTGCTGGCTACACCTGGTTGGTGTAACCGTTACGGGTGTCTCAACTATCACTTATTTTAGAGTTGAACGGGGTATTTTGAACCTATCTTGCTGGTTTGCCGTCAAGACTGACATTTTTAAATCTCGTGATGATGTGGTAAACCTTTAGGTAGCAACTCAGAGGGGCCAAACTGATCGATCGATCGATGTCACCTGGGACATTCCCACCATCGGTCCGCCCCCGTCTTCGACAGCTAGCGCAAATGTACAGTTCCGATAATACAAGTGACAGTATAACTATATGCCCGTCTAGGCAGCCATTCATCTGAGTATATTATGTGCCATATCCCCTGGTCGTCTCCCCGCTAGATCTTTTTCGCCAGTCCGAGCCTGTCTGGAGGGCACATGTTGCAACACAACGGAAATAGGGTCTAAAGGGGGAACTCGTGGTGAAATGAGGGGGTCTGATCAAAGGGTGAAATGATATGAAGGCGAGACTCCATTTTTTGGGAGGGGGAGACTGGTGGAGTGAGAGTGGAGACAGAAAGTGAGAGTTTGGAGACAGGCAGAAGTGTGTGAAGGGAGTCTAAGGAGTGGGAGGGAAGACAGGGAGGCGCGACAGTGTTGAGAGAGAAAACTGAGCGGTGAGATAGACAAGACAGAGGTCTGGGTGGGGGGATAAGTGTGGTGGGAGATTTAAAATGAGATACTGGTGGGGCTAAAGAAGAGAGACTGTCGGTAAGAGGGGGGGGGGGATTAGAGATAAGAACGATGTAGATGTAGAGGAGATGTATGGGTGAAAAGGGAAAGACTTAAAGGTGAGAGTTGGTATACACATGGTTATAAAGAGATGGTAAATATGGTGAGCTTGCTGAGACACGAGATTAAGAAGGGAGGCGGAAAGATGAGATAGTGGAGAGTGATGTATGTGAATTAAGAATGGGGAGACGGATTAAGAAAGGAAATTGGGGGTTATATAAAAAAGAGTTTGGAAGACGGATTAAGAATGGAGACTTATGGTGGTAGAGGGGAGATCGTGTGAGCTTTGAGTTAAGAAGGGCGACTCATGATAAGATATAGAAGATAGTATGCTCGTAGTATTAAGAGGAGTATGCTGGATATTGATACCTGCTGGGCTAAGAACATATTATTTATGGATGAGACGATTTTCCAAAGATAAATGCCTGGTTTGATCACCAGAGCAAGACTGTATTGCGGTGACAGATATATCGTCTTTGTTCTGTGGTCAGACCTGTTGAAATGGAGACATTGGTTTGTCTGACCTTTTTTCAGTTTGTGAGAGATGTTCTCGTAACTAATCAGCTAGCTTTCTGCTGGTTTCCCAAATGTATGCCTTGTTGCAACATTTATAGATTACAGCATAAATTACATTTCAGAATTAATATGTGAATGCTTCTCTAATCCGGAAAGTACCATTAGGAAAACTGACCGTTGAGGTCAACAAATTGATTTGTTTTGCACGTTGTATAGGAGCATTGCGTAGTTTCAAACTTAATTATTGTGTGGATCGGCCGAAGTCGGCTTCAATCTAGTGTATCCTTTAGGTTGCGGTATCGTCTGTATCTGGGCTTCTCATTGAAGATTATTCAAGTGTCTGGATTAGAGAAGAGGATGTCCAAGTGGCAAAATAATCCTTAGGAAGCAACTAGATTATTAGAAAAACAAGTTAAAATCACTCTAGGTCCAAGACTAGAGGACTTATGCTTGGTAGAGAAAGAATCTCTCTTGGTGATGGGTAGTACTTTAATCAGAACTTCTTGTAAGATGTTTTCAGGGTGGAAACGGGCACGGAAGAAGTAAAGAAGTTCATAGGATTCATCTAAGAAGTCAGAGTGCACAGAGCACAACCTGCTCAGCCGAAGGAGCTGTGAGTACGAAATGGGTGAACGTTTTGACCAGAAAGAACAACAGTGGAACTTAAACTCTATGGACCACTGAATGAACTAACAACGACAGTGAAATTTATACAAGAGACAAAACTGCTGATATAGACAATTTATTTCAGGCGAACGAAAGAAGTACAAGGAATGGGTGAGAAGAGGTACAGAGGAGGCAGATGTGAGAATCCGTGGGTTTTTCGTAGGCTGTAATCTTTAAAAACTGGATCGTGCCTCTACATCGCCCACTTGCTCCTAGATGGCCTTGACCATATGCAGCTTGATTGACTGACACAGACACTGTTATATTGCGCTTTGAGTAGGCATCGTACTCACACCCCACGGCGATAGCGGCTGTGACTAGCGACTAGCAAGACCCACCCATCTCAAGAAAAGTCTTCCACAATGACAGCATTTGATTTCAGGACCGTTGTTGTCAACATTTGTGTGTAATTCGTTTCGTCTAAGACGCCCAGCTCTCACCTTTTCTGCAATCATTTCTTCCTTTAATCTTATGGCACTTTGTTCCCATGAGTCTACCTCAATACCTGTATCATTCATGTTCCGCTTGCAAACATCTTTATAGCGTAGTAGAGGTCGGCCTCTGCATTTTCTACCCGTCTTCAATTCGCCACACAGGATTTCCTAGGAACTCTTCTATTCTCCATTCTCCAGGTGTGACCCAGCCACGTGAGCCTTCGTAGGCTGAGCACCGAGACTGTTGTAGTATCTGCTGTTTCCAGTACCTCAGTGTTTGTGATTTTGACATGCCACTTAATGCCAAGTATTCTCCCTAAGCATGGCTTGTGAAAGCTATTTAGTCGTCTCTCCTAGTGCAAATAAGTTGACCAAGTTTCACTGCCATAAAACAGAGTGCTGAGAACCCAGGCCTGACAGACAAGGGTTTTTGTTTTAATTGTGAGCTTTCTGTTCTCCCAAACTCTTTTTGTCAATCTGGTATTGTTGTTGCTATATATCCACACACACACACACACACATACATATATATATATATATATATATATATATATATATATATATATATATATATATATATATATATATATATATATATATATATATATATATATAACTTGTCATGCATAAATTCACCACCCACTGGTGTAGAACCAGTCAGTCCATCTGCGTGTTCATTTCGTATCTGGTATTGAGTAAATGCAGACAGCGATACGTAAAATTTTGAGAAAAGTGTAGCCACACAGAGACAGACAGGATTTTTTCCCCCCAGCTCTACTGACGAATTTCACTATCCAAACATGCCTAGAGGTGATCATTGTCCGTGCACTTCAAGCTCATTGATGTCACATACGTCTTAGGTATTCGTGTTTTGATGTAACACTCCTGCATACACCGGAGATAATACCCGCAGAATGCTATCCAGGACCTTTGAAGCGATGCTTTTCACCCTGCACGGAGCACGTCTGCCTACACCTTTCTTACTTTCTTGCATGATTTGTGAGTCGATTGTGTATGTAGATGTGTAGGTAGAACTGATACACAGGCCAGCGGAAATCTTGACTGGTCTGTATCTCTCTTTGTCTGGTACCTAACCTTTATCTCCAATCGCCTCTTTTCTCTTCAAGTGTTCTATAGATACCACTATTTACGATGGTTTTGTGTGTATGGCCTGTTAATTGCACTAGCTGCACAATGTATTGGCCATATCCCTTGCCTTGAAATTTCCAATGCAGGTGAACATTTGGAATGATCTTAGCCGGCGCCGTGCTGCTAGTCACATATTAGTATCGATATACCCTGTAAGAATAAAATGTTTCCTGCAAAACTTTAACAGTAAAGTTGAAATGGATTATAGAGTACAAGTATTTGGTATTGGATAAATACGGACAGCGATACGGAAACTGTTGAGTGAAGTGTGGCCACACAGAGAAGACACAAATTTTTTTCTTTCAGCTCTACTGACGAATTTCACTATCCAAACATGCCCAGAGGTAATAATTGTTCGTGCACCTCAGCTCGGTGATATCACATACGTCTTAGATATCGTGTGTTTGATACCAGAGCTGCGCCAACGTGTCATAAATACATAATAACGCAACTGTGTTTGCATCACCAGTTTCAGCGACTGGCTTGTCTCAGACAACACACACAAACTGTCAGTACAATGAAAATCACACGGCGTCCACGCTAACTGGCATGGGTTGGTGGGTGTGCCATTTGTCTTGTTTATTGCACCGTCCTATGAATAAATGCCTGATATAAAGTAATTTAGAGTTTTTGAACCAATAGAAAAAAAGGCACCCAATCAATAATACACTAGATCTAGATCCTATGATTATCAAGGGACTGAATGAATGCCTTGCTTGCCTTCCTTACACTAGAAATTTAGAAATCTTTTTTTTTTTTAACTTCTGCTTTTTTGCAAAGAAAGCTGTGAAAACATTTGTTTGATAAATTCATTTATGCAATACCTCTGTTTATAATTAATAAAGCAGTGATAAATAAGTATCTCTTGTCTTGGCATTGTATACCGAGTATACTATTACATCATACTATGGAAATCAGTGTTTAGTGGGGGCAGATGTGACCATCAAGACCAGCTAAGACAGTTTCCCCTCTGTGTAACACTATCAGTTGTAATTGTGTTCCCATGAATCCATCTCGGTACCTGTACATTCATGTCCCACTTAAACACTTTCTGTCCTAGTAGATTCTAACCCCGAGATTTTATAGCCATGTTTAAATTAACCAAATATGCCCTAACCGACTGTAGTGTGCTTCTGTATCAGCAAATATTATGTGTCAGAAAATTGCATGTTTCAGAAATTATTATATATAAGAAAACTTTGTTGCTTTGTGTTCTGCTCCCAATTAATTAAACTTTACCATGCTGGCATGGTCATTTCAGTCACACGTGATGTTTATATGGAGATACTCCATACTTCACCTCGGGCAGCACCTGACCCTGTGCTGGTTTTAAGGATCCTCTTGCAAGACATGCCACACATCTCTGTTGTACGCCACAGATTAAGGCTCATATCTACAAAAGCTGGCAGGGGATCTCAGAGTTAGGGACCCCTAGAGATGCAGCCAGCTCCTAATGCATAAGTGATAAAGTCTATCAAAACTCCATTAGGAACTTGAGTAAAGCCCGCTGGCTGAACATACCACTAAATGACAATCCTCAGTTCAAACATCTGTCAAAGCCCTATTTGTGTCATGATTAGGCTCAAACGTTCGCCATTTGGGTGTCGGGGTGTCAAAATCAAGAGATTTGCTTTGCAACTTGGATGAGCAACATCTCCTTGGATGGTATCTCACGGTTGTGTCCTATGGCACAACAGCAACGTTTTAGATGTCAAATCATTGAATGTCTTACTGTGTGGGAGGCAAGGCTCAGAATTCCAACCCTCAAACATCGACACTGTGTGACAGACACTTAAATTACCATTTGAGATATTGCTACAAAATTCTCATCATTGATCTCAAGCCCCAGTCTCTGGCTTCACAGCCATTTTTTTTTGGGGGGGGGGATGTTAGATCTTTACATCTGTGATATGTACATCTGTGACATGTAAATCCGCAACATGTACATCTGTCTTATGTACTTCTGCGATATATAGATATATGACGTGTATATGTGTCTCATGTACATCTGTCTTATGCACATCCATCCGAGACATGTAAGTACTGTCTTACTGTTCCAGTTGTAGATTATTATGGCCAATATGTCATACTTTCCTGGTTATAAATTACTGTTGGTTAATACTATTTTGCTGTCACAGAGGTAGAAGACTTATTTTTAGTACTGTCTTACTGTCTCATTGATAGATAAACTGTTAGTTCTGTCTTGCTGATAAATGACTCTTGTTCACACTGTCTTGCTGTTTCAGTGTTAGCTGGCTATTGTTAGTTATCTTTTGTTCTCCCAGTGATAGATTACTATTGTTAGTTCTCTTGTGTTATCCCAGGAGTAGTTGACTGTTTTTAGTTCTCTCTTGTTGTCCAAGTGATTTATGACTGTTGTTAGTTCTGTCTTGTCCCACTGGTAGATTACTATTGTTAGTTCTCTCTTATGTCCCAGTGTGGATAGCCATTGTTAGTTCTCTCTTATGTCCCAGTGTAGATAGCCATTGTTAGTTCTCTCTTGTGTCCCAGTGTAGATAGCCATTGTTAGTTCTCTCTTGCTGTCCCAGTGGTATATGACTATTTGTAAATCTGACAGACAAATTGTTTATACTGTCTGGCTGTCCCTGTAGAAGATTACCTAATTGGACTGTCTTACTGTGATAGATAACTATTATGTGCTCTCTTGTTGTCCCAGTGATAGATGATTATTGTTAGTTCTCTCTTGTTGTCCCAGTGATAGATGATTATTGTTAGTTCTCTCTTGTTGTCCCAGTGATAGATGATTATTGTTAGTTCTCTCTTGTTGTCCCAGTGATAGATGATTATTGTTAGTTCTTGCTTGTTGTCCCAGTGATAGATGATTATTGTTAGTTCTTGCTTGTTATTTCAGTGCACAGATGATTATTGTTAGTTCTTGCTTGTTATTTCAGTGCACAGGTGATTATTGTTAGTTCTTGCTTGTTATTTCAGTGCACAGATGATTATTGTTAGTTCTTGCTTGTTATTTCAGTGCACAGATGATTGTTGTTAGTTCTCTCTTGTTGTCCCAGCAATAGATGACTTTTGTTAGTTCTCTCTTTGTACTCCAGTACATAGTTCTGTCTTGTTGTCCAAAAAAATAGATGTATTTTATTAGTTCTGGCTTGTTATTCCACTGCAAAGATGATGTTTGTTAGTTTTATCTATATGTCACTATTATAACAGAATAACAGTCCCAAATTATCGAGGCCAAAAATATACCCTAACAGGGCCTCAGTCACATATAAATTGCGTACCTCTTCCGGCGACTACACAGCATACGGCGAAAAAGATTCTGCTGAGTTAAGTCACTGCCGAGAGTTGGGCTAAACTATATGGCTGGGACTCACGAGCAGCAGCTACCGCATCTCATGCAGCTTCTTCCGTTTTATTTGCTTTTGAGTCCCAGCCATCTAGTTTAGCCCCAGTCTGCGCTGCACGTAGTGGTACTCTCGGCGATATGCTGTGTAGTCGCCGATTGAGGCCCTGTTAGGGTATATTTTCGGCCTCGATAATTTGGGATCGTTATTCGGAGGATATCCTAGATGACTATTGTTAGTACTGTCTCACTGTCCCAACTGAGCACATTTGCCATGTATATTTATATTGCTAGAAATTGACAAAATATAATGTATTTCTTTAGGAGGTGGTGCAGGTGGTAGAGGAGGCAAAAAAAGCCACAAAGGTCAGAGGAGGCATTTCACAGATGAGGATGAGCTCCGAGAACAGGCTCAGAAGGCTGAGAAAGAGAAGGCATGGCGAGTAAGTAGATCATCTGATTTGCAAAAGTATGTCATTAGACTAAGAATGATGAGTAAATAGATCATTGGATAAGGCATATTGAGCCTGTAGGTCATTGAACAAGGCATGGTGAATGGGTAGATCAGTGGACAATTCTTGTTGGTAAGTAGGTCATTTAACAAAGCATGGTGAGTAGATTCACCATGTGGTGCCTGTTATCATAAAGAATAGGACCACTGCATCCCTCAGCATGTCGTAAGAGCCGACATGGGACCAGCAACCCCACAATGTAAACACCAAAAAACATAACCTCTACAGAATCAGAGACAAACAGAAAGAATCTGCCTTATGTGCCTCTGGGCGCGATAAGGATTAATTCGATTGGTAAGTAGGTAGGTCATTGGACAAAATGAGTGAGGTAGTTGAAGAAGATCTTCACCATATCAAGCTGACACACCTTTCTGCACAGTCAGCATGGGCTTTCTCAGGAATTCTTCAAACTGCATTGCTTTCTCTTCATTATTTGTCTTACTTAAAGAAAATGCAGTTTGGTTGAATAGTTTCAGGCTTCATATTATAATTCATGCCGTTTTCATGGTGCGTTCAAATTAACAATGACAGGTTCCTTCTGTTACAACAATTCATTGACTTTTGTATTTTTATGATTAGAAAAAGATTGGTGACTGTTTACGTAATTATGTTGCAAGATAGGTCATTGGACAAAGCATATCAAGTAGGTAGATCACTGGACAAGACATGCTGAATAAATAGGCTATCAGGAAAGGTATTTCTAGTAATTGGGCAATTTGAAAAGCTTCATGTAGTAACTAAGAAAAAGGTATGTTTTGAAGCAAAAGGTATGTCTAGTATGTCATTTAAAAACATCCCCTTTTTTTCGGGGCCCTATTTTAGGGAAAACAAGAATAGCCTCACTGTCTACCCAAAAGCATGTCATAAGAGTCCACTGATTAGTAGCTTCCTTTGAAGTCAGAGTGCATCTGCCTAAAAGGCAAAACCTGTAAAACAGATGCACGCACAACACTCAGGTTCTGGAATAGGACTGCAGTCCAGAAGTAGATAAACAGCCACAACTTTCCCTCAGAGTTTACAGCTGGTGAACGTGAAGAAGAAGAATTTTGAAAAACAGAAATGTGTTTAGTAAATATGTCATAAAGCAAAAAAGTATGTTTAGTAAGTAGGTTATAAAGAATAAATATTCTTCATAGAGAAAAAAGTATTCTAGTAAGAAGGCCATGCAGAAAAAAAGGTATATTAAGTAAGCAGGTCATTCAGAAAAAGGTATGACTAGTAATTTACTAGAGAAGATGTTAGTAAATTACTAGAAAAGTTGTGGTTGGTGAATTTGCATTTCTGGTTGTCTGTTGATAAATCATGTCTTGAGTGAGTATATGACAACACTTAAATAAGTGACGGAGACCTGAACTTATGACTAGTTAGTTGTTTGTGGTGATAGATAGATCAAATCAAGGTGCATGAAATACCAGCGTTCATTGATATTTACAAACAAATCAGAAGATTGAAACCCATTTTTCTTTTGGCTATTGAAGAGATGGACAGTCTATCTCTCCTGAGAATGAGAAGTAGTCAGCACTTTCATCTGTTATATATTGCAGTGTGGTGTGATAGTGTTACACCAGTGTTTCTGTTCTGTGTACTAGTGTGTGGTGTGGTATTTTACACCATGTGGCTATATACTAGTTTGTGGTGTGGTAATATTACACCAACATGGCTGTATACTAGTGTGTAGTGTGGTAATATTGCACCAACATAGCTGTATACTAGTGTGTAGTGTGGTAGTATTACACTAGCATGGCTGTGAACTAGTGATGTTCAGTATTGCCTCGTCATTGTTATAAAATACTATGGTGTTTTGTAATATTGCACCAGCATTTTTTACATACTCTTATGGTAGTATAACATCAACAGTGTTACATACTAGAATGTTCTGGCATAATATAGCACCATCATTACATACTGGCCTATTCTCTGACTGTTTGCAGCGCCAACAAGGCATTGAGAGTGATGAAGAAGAAGAAGTAGCAGCCAAGGAAGAAGAAGGAGCTGCTGAAGCCAAAGTCAAGAATCCAGATCTTCCTCCATCTGGATCCGAGTCTGAAACTGACAGCGAAGAGGATGAGGAGGTATTGCTCTTTTGTATCAACATATTTTCTGTGTTGCTTTTGTTTTATGGTTCCTGGGTTGCTGTTTTATGTCAACAGAGTTCTCATGTTGCTGTTTTGTATCAACATCATTCTTGTGTTGTTGTTTTATATTGGCATGTTTCTTGTGTTGTTGTTTCATAGCATCGTTCTTATGTTGTTGCTATTGTCTTCTCTGTGCCAGTTTATGACCTGGTGTTTTCTTTTTTGCCAGTTTATAAGCTGGTATCTTCTCTGTGCCAGTGTATGAGCTGGTATCTTCTCTCTTCCAGTTTATAAGCTGGTATCTTCTATGTGCCAATTTATAAGCTGGTATCTTCTCTGTGCCAATGTATGAGCTGGTATCTTCTCTCTTCCAGTTTATAAGCTGGTATCTTCTCTGTGCCAGTGTATAAGCTGGTATCTTCTCTGTGCCAGTTTATGAGCTGGTATCTTCTCTCTTCCAGTTTATGAGCTGGTATCTTCTCTCTTCCAGTTTATAAGCTGGTATCTTCTCTTTTAGTTTATAAGCTGTTATCTTCTCTGTGCTGGTGTATGAGCTGGTATCTTCTCTTTTCTAGTTTATAAATTGTATCTTCTCTCTTCCAGTTTATAAGCTGGTATCTTCTCTGTGCCAGTGTATGAGCTGATATCTTGTCTCTTCCAGTTTATAAATTGTATCTTCTCTCTTCCAGTTTATAAGCTATCTTCTCTCTTCCAGTTTATAAGCTGGTATCTTCTCTCTTTCAGTTTATAAGCTGGTATCTTCTCTGTGCCAGTGTATGAGCTGGTATCTTCTCTCTTCCAGTTTATAAGCTGGTATCTTCTCTGTGCCAGTGTATGAGCTGGTATCTTCTCTGTGCCAGTTTATAAGCCGGTATCTTCTCACTTTCAGTTTATAAGCTTGTATCTTCTCTCTTCAAGTTTATAAGCTGGTATCTTCTCTATGCCAGTGTATGAGCTGGTATCTTCTCTGTGCCAGTGTATGAGCTGGTATCTTCTCTGTGCCAGTTTATAAGCCGGTATCTTCTCACTTTCAGTTTATAAACTGGTATCTTCTCTCTTCCAATTTATAAACTGGTATCTTCTCTATGCTGTATGAGCTGGTTTCTCTGTTTATATGACCTGGTATCTTCTCTCATGTGCGGTATCTTCTCTCTTTTAGTTTATAAGCTGGTATCTTCTCTGTGCGAATGTTATGAGCTGGTATCTTCTCTCTTCCAGTTTATAAATTGTGTCTTCTCTCTTCCAGTTTATAAGCTGGTATCTTCTCTGTGCCAGTGTATGAGCTGGTATCTTCTCTCTTCAAGTTTATAAGCTGGTATCTTCTCTGTGCCAGTGTATGAGCTGGTATCTTCTCTCCACTATACTGTAAAGCATTAGCTGTAGGATGAAAGAAAGAAGAAGATGGTGTCTTCTCTCTGCCATTATGTTTATCTGTGAGTTGGTGTCTTCTGTGAGTCTATTAATGAGCTGGTGTCTTCTTGCTGGATGTTTATGTTTATCTCTGATCTAGTGTCTTCACTGTGCCTTTTGTGTGTGTGTCTATGAGATTATGCCTTCTCACTCCCACTGTGTTTATCCATGAATTAGTCTCTGTTTTCTGCATGTTTGTGTTTATCCATGATCTGGTGTCTTCTCTTTGCTTGCATCTTTATCCATGGTCTGATGCCTTTTCTGTACTTGTATGTTTATCCATGATTTAGTGTCTTCTCTGTGTATGTTAGGGTTTAGCAATGATATATTATCTTCCATGTGCTTGTTTTGTGTTTATCCTTGGTTTGATGTCTTCTCTGTGAAAGTTAGGTGTTTATACATGAGGTTTGTGTTTTTGTTTGTTGGGCTGCATCAGTTGTACAGCACAGATGTAAATGTGTTTCAGGGAAAACCCAAAGGTGTTGCACATTTGATAGAGATTGAGAATCCCAATCGAGCTGCTAGCAAAAGTTCCAAGAAAGTCTCAGAAATTGGTGAAACTGCTGGAAGTACCGGCTTGTCTAGACGAGAGAGGTCAGCTGTGTGTTGTGTCGCTATCATCTTGGCCTTCTGAATTGCATGTTTGTATTGTGAATTTGTTGCTTGTATTATGGATATGTTGTGAACTAGTGTTTGTAAATCTTGATTACAAAAATGGCGGAGTAAACATTGTTCGCTGATTCTGTGAAATTCAAAATATTTTTAGTGTATATTTTAAGTATCAGTCAATTCAAACAAGGATGATTCTGCAAATGGTCTAGCAAATCGTTCAGGAATTTTGTTTTTATCTGTTACAGCTAGAGAATTATGGAAGAAACTAAAGAAAACTGTGATTCTTTCAGTGCTGAAAAGACCAGAAACACACCAGACACACGGAAAAAGTGAACAGCTGCTACATAATTTAAAAAAAGCAGGCATTGAGATATTGAGTACTTGAAATGTTAGAGGAGATCTTCGGGTGCTTTATTAATATCCTTACCCCAGATAACGTCACAGGACAGTCCACATTTTAGAGGGTGGTAAGACTGTTTCCCAGCTTTCTGATCCCAAAACACCTAGAACTGGCCCTAACCCCAACCCACCTACATCCCACGAGAGAGTGCAGGCCTAGGTCCTACGACTGCATGCAGCCTATTTACCACCCCCTGAAATATTTGACTGTTCCGTGACCTGTGTATTTTCCCTGTTTGAGGTAGGATATTAATAAAGCACCGATCTTTCCAGGGAAAACATTTGTCTGCAGTCATCAGCAGGAAGCCATACCTTATCCTCAAGTGCCTAGGCAACTGGCATAAGCGATCATGCCTTCCCACAATCTGCAGTCTCCAACACCGCATGTGTTGGCACCCATCCATGCCTTGACAAAAGACAATATACTTCTTACATTGTCTTCCTTTGTCTCTCTTTCTGCAAATCTTTGCATTCCTCTTATTTTCCAGTTTTTTTCTTCTTCTCAAAATGTGATCCTAAAAACAAAATGACCATCTCTTTATGATTTTTTTTAAAAGTTATGTTCAGTCCCTTGCCTATTCTAAAACATCTGGATTGCTAATTATTCCTTGCAATAATTTTAAGCATTCTTCTGGTAAATCACATCTCTGAGGCCTCAATGAGTTTCTTTCTGTAGAATCAAATACAGCAGATCAGACGTATAAATATAAATAACAAGGAAACAGAGCTTAAACAAACAAAAAATAGAACACAAGACCTGATATAAACCATGAGAACGTCACCTCAGACCATAATGGTAGGAACCTTATACAGGGTACATAGTGGTTCTTGAAGCCTAGTGAACCTTGAAACAACTTAGACCTTTGAGATGTCTTCTCTGTGAATGTTAGGTGTTTATACATGAGGTTTGGGTTTTTGTTTGTTGGGCTGCATCAGTTGTACAGCACAGATGTAAATGTGTTTCAGGGGTAATTTCTCAGATGTTCTTGAAATTGGTCTTTCAGAATAGGGAAATTGAGAATGAGAGTTCATTGCAAGCCTGTGATTTTCAATGGTTGGCCTGTTTGCGACTAGCATCACTTCCTATCATGTCTGGTAAACTTCGCACTTACAATCTGTTGGTTGTCTGTTGCATTTGGGACAATGGTGATAAATAGAAAACGTGAATTTTTGGACAGCATGAATTGTAGGACATCAGTGACAAGACCATGAATAATGATAGAGAACATGAATGGTAATAGAGGTCATTAATGATAATAGAGAACATGAATGATAGTAGAGAACAGGAATGGTAACAGAACAGGAATGGTAACAGAGAACAGGAATGGTAACAGAGAACAGGAATGGTAACAGAGAACAGGAATGGTAACAGAGAACATGAATGGTAACAGAGAACAGGAATGGTAACAGAGAACATGAATGGTAACAGAGAACATGAATGGTAACAGAGAACAGGAATGGTAACAGAGAACATGAATGGTAACAGAGAACATGAATGGTAACAGAGAACATTAACTGTAATAGAGAGCATCAATGGGTACACTGTAGTTCCATAATGTAACTGCTCTTGTTTTTGTGCTGTTTTTATAGAGAGGAACTGGAGAAAATAGAAGCTCGCCGCAGATACCAAGCACTTCATTTGGCTGGCAAGACTGATGAGGCCCAGGCAGACTTAGCCCGGTTAGCAATTATACGCAAACAGCGAGAAGAAGCTGCCAAGAAGAGAGAGGAGGAAAGATTAGGTGAGTCAAGCCCTAGATAAAACAGTGTAAAGATGGGGGGAATGTAAGCATGTTATCTTAGACAGGTTCTGGCATGGGTGCATGTTATCTCTTAGTCAAGTATTGACACCGGTTGACATGAACACGGCATGGTGGCATATTATCTTAGTTACGTATTGGCGCAGTTTGACCTTGGCAGGATATATGGGCACGTTATCTTAAGATTTTGGCAGAGGTTGATATAGGCATGTTATCTAAGTCAAGTATTGGCATAGGTTGAACCTGGTTAGGACATGTGGGCATGTTATCTTAGCTAAGTATTGGACCTGTTTGACCTGGGCAGGACATATGGGCATGCAAGAAGCAAAGTTCTCATTTTGTGGTGTAGGTAAATGAAATCCCAGGTCTGCAGGCTGCATACTGTTGGTTACAATAGAGAAAGCCCATGATGTATAAAATGTTCAATATATGGAAGTGAGGTTAAATAATCATGAGCAGGACGTGACGATTCCTTGGTGAGTCCAGTACCAGAGCACCATGTATTAGCTCTGCATTTGTGGAAGCCCCTTTGGGTGGCGGGGAACGCTCATGTTCTGCCCCTGCCTTCTCTTGAGGGCTGATCAGCATTATGTGGCCTCTTTGGATGAGCCTGATTGGGGTACCACCTGTGACCTGGGAAATAAAGATGACCACACAAAAATGAGACTGCCATGTCCCCAGAAACTAACCGGGAAACCTAACCCGGTCAACAAATGCCCGCAGAAGTCGGATGTGTTGGCCGAAAGGTGCAAATATCACAGCCATGCTGTAAAAGGACACAACGCAATTACATCTTCGGATGAACGCAGAAGAAGAAGAATATATGAGCATGTTATCTAAGTCAAGTATTGGCATAGGTTGAATCTGGTTAGGTCATGTGGGCATGTTATCTTAGCTAAGTATTGGACCTGTTTGACTGATCTGGGAGGGTATTCCACCTAGGGCAGTTCTGCCAACATGACTTCTATCCATGTCAGTTCTGAAAACATCATTTCCATCCAGGACAAACCCGGGAACATCACTTCTATCCAGCACAGTTCTAAGAATAATAGAGACATCAGTTCTATCCAGCACAGTTCTAAGAATAATAGAGACATCAGTTCTATCCAGCACAGTTCTAAGAATAATAGAGACATCAGTTCTATCCAGCACAGTTCTGAGAACATCAGTTCTATCCAGGACAGTTCTGATAACATCAGGTCTATCTAGCACAGTTCTGAGAACATCAGGTCTATCTAGCACAGTTCTGAGAACATCAGTTCTTCTTCTTCATTAATCCAGAGATGTAATTGCGTTGTGCCTGTTTACAACATGGCTGCGATAATTGCGCCTTTTGGCCAACACATCCGACTTCTGTTGGCATTTGTTGACAGTGTCTGCCTTCCCGGTTAGTTTCATGGGACATTGCAGTCTCATTTTTGTGTGGTCATCTTCGTTTCCCAGATGGTGCCCCACATCAAGCTTGTCCAGAGAACATCAGTTCTATCCAATACAGTTCTGAGAACAACAGAGACTGATATCAGTTCTGAGAACAACAGAGATATCAGTTCTGAGAACATCAGTTCTGAGAACAACAGAGATATCAGACTGAGAACAACAGAGATATCAGACTGAGAACATCAGTTCTGAGAACAACAGAGATATCAGACTGAGAACATCAGTTATGTCCAGGACAGTTCTAAAAGCAGCTGAGACATAAACTGGCAAACTTAATGGGGCACGAGGAAGACAAGCAAGAAGTTTGACTATACAGCATGGATGAGACAAAGGAAAGACAAGAGATCAGTTTTACTATATGGCATGGATAAGGCAAGGGAAGGACAAGATAAAAAGCTTAACCACCTGGTGTGAATGATATGTCAGTTATTGTTGGATAATAGACCACTGTTTAATAGACCACTGTTATTGTTAGATGATATAGATCAGCTTTATTGTCAAATGATAGATGACACTTGTTGGATGATATAGATGACCCTTTGGTTGGGTGATAGATGAAACTTATTGCTGGATAATAAATTTAAATTTCAATTCTGTCGGCAGCCAAGGAAGCAGCTAAAGAAGCCGCCTCCAAGACCAAAGGCAAGTCTTGACCTGAATTACTGGGAACTAATAGTTGAACTATGTCATTGTATAAACACACACACTTGACATAATAGTTGAAGTATGTCATTGTATAAACACACACACACAGGAGATTGGATTGTTTATGAAACCATTAAATGTATGTATGTATGTATGTCACCTGCTGCTTTTAGATTAAAAACTGAGACAGACATACAATAAATATAGAACTGGTAACTCATACTCACAAACGTACAACACGGACATACATCTGGTAACTTATACTCAGGGACATACAACAGGTAACTCATGCTCACAGACATACATAAACACAGACATAGAACTGGTAATTTGTACACATACAACACACTTAGTACTGGTAACTCATATACAATAATAAACATTGTAACCGTAACCTATGTGATGTACCAGCTTTGAGATTTTGTTGAAAAAGAAAACATGGGATATGTTTGAATTTTACTCAGTCGCTAGCTGCCTGAACTTGAGATGAGTGAAATGCATAGGAGCAAGTTTCTGAATTTGAGGCAGACTGGCTGTCTTGTCAACTGTCATGTGGCGGCAATGTGGGACATGGCAACTGTCATCACTGTGACCCATGTCAGCTGTCATATGGCAATACCATGAGGCATGCCAACTGTCATGTGGCAGCAGTGTGAGACATGTACGTCAGCTGTCATGTGGCAACAGTATGAAACATGTCAACCATTTCATGGCAACATTAGGAGACATGCACATCAACTGTTGTCATGTGGGAAAAGGATGAAAATTGTCTGTCTTGTAGCAGCACTGTAAGACATGCGAGCTGTCTTGTGGCAACAGTATGAAACATTTCAAACTGTCACGTGGAAAGATCATGAAAAATGTCAACTGTCTTGTAGCAGGAGACATGTCAGCTGTCATGTGGCAACACCACGAGACTTGCCAACTGTCATGTGGCAACACTACGAGACATGTCAACTGTCATGTGGCAACACTACGAGACATGTCAACTGTCATGTGGCTACACCACAAGACATGTCAGCTGTCATGTGGCTACACCACAAGACATGTCAACTGTCATGTGGCTACACCACAAGACATGTCAGCTGTCATGTGGCAACACTACGAGACATGTCAACTGTCATGTGGCTACACCACAAGACATGTCAACTGTCATGTGGCTACACCACAAGACATGTCAGCTGTCGTGTGGCTACACCACGAGATGACATGTCAGCTGTCGTGTGGCAACACCTCGAGACGTGTCAGCTGTTGTGTGGCATGTGACAACTGTCATGTAGTAATACTGAAGTAGATTTTGTCATAAGATCCCTAAAGCAGCTCACACCGTGTACAAATCTTTAGTTACATTGATTCTGCGTAAACATTATAGTGCTTAGTTCCATTGGCTGCATGTAAAAGGTTTAGCTTTTGTTTTTCTGGGTTCCATGGTTTAGTTGTGGTGTCTCACTGTGCAGACTATAGGTCTTAGTTCTGTAAGGTCCAAGTATAAGGTTTAGTTGATAGTCCTATTAGCCTAGTTCTGTCAGTTTAATTTTAAAGCTTTAGTTCTGTTGGCTAGTTGTAAAAGGCTTAATTCTGTTGTTCCATGTACAAGATTTAGTTCTGTTGGTTCCATAAAGAAGTTCTAAGCTATGTTGACTCCATATAGAAGGTTTAGTTCTTAACTCTTTTGACTCCATATAAAAGGTTTAGTTCTAAGCTATGTTGACTCCATATAGAAGGTTTAGTTCTAAGCCTTGTTGACTCCATATAGAAGGTTTAGTTCTAAACTCTTTTGACTCCATATAGAAGGTTTAGTTCTAAGCTCTGTTGACTCCATATAGAAGGTTTAGTTCTAAACCCTGTTGACTCCATATAGAAGGTTTAGTTCTAAGCTATGTTGACTCCATATAGAAGGTTTAGTTCTAAGCCTTGTTGACTCCATATAGAAGGTTTAGTTCTAAGTTATGTTGACTTCATATAGAAGGTTTAGTTCTAAGCTCTGTTGACTCCATATAAAAGGTTTAGTTCTAAGCTCTGTTGACTCCATATAGGTTTAGTTCTAAGCTCTGTTGACTCCATATAGAAGGTTTAGTTCTAAGCTCTGTTGACTCCATATAGGTTTAGTTCTAAGCTCTGTTGACTCCATATAGAAGGTTTAGTTCTAAGCTCTGTTGACTCCATATAGGTTTAGTTCTAAGCTCTGTTGACTCCATATAGAAGGTTTAGTTCTAAGTTAAAGTTCCATGCAGATTTAGTTCTAAGTTAAGAAAGCTACATGCAGGACTAGTGCTAAGCTCTATATACAAGATTTAGCTACAAGTTCTTTTGACCGATTGTAAAAAATTTAAGTTCTATTGGCACCGTGTACAACAAGCTTTTGTTTGGTTGGCTCCGGATAAGTTCATTTAAGTTTTTTTCACCTGATGTACAAGATTTAGTTCTTAGTTATTTTGGTTCCACTGTGTAATTCAGTTGCCCTTATGTACAAGGTTAGTTCTTAGTTGTTGTTGCCGCGCCTTGTATACAGTTCAGTTTGATTTAATTCAGATTGGCCAGTGTTCTCTGGCTTGGTTCACAAGACATGATTGTGTTCTATCTGATCCTTGCTGGCTGAAACTTTTTATTTAGAGTACGCCCCTTTCATTGTTATGTGAGTGATTTCTAGCTGACTGGGAATTAAAAAAATACAGAATTTGCTGTTTTCAAAAACAAGTGACAGTTTCTGTGTGTTTATTTTTTCAACAATTAATGATAACAAGTTTAGCAATCTCATATATAAACAGGGAGGAAAAAAGGGAAGGGTGGTGTCAATGTTAGTTGTTTATTTGGCATCTGTCCCTGGCATGGATGTGTATATATGGGACATCTCAATCCCCCAAGGCAACCATAGATGTATATTGGGGATGTCTCAGTCCATGGATGTATATTGGAGTATCTCAATCATGGCAACTATGGATGCATTTAGGGGCATCTTAGTCCATGGCAACCATGGATGCATTTAGGGGCATCTCAGTCCATGGCAACCATGAATGCATTTAGGGGCATCTCAATCTATGACAACCATGGATGCATTTAGGGGCATCTCAATCTATGACAACCATGGATGCATTTAGGGGCATCTCAATCCATGGCAACCATGGATGTATTTATAAACTAGCAATGTTTGCCTCCCTGACTAAAACCCCTCTGTCAGTCTGCCACACTGACGTCAGCCTCACCCTCACTGTCAGTCTCACCGATTTCACCTTCACTAACTTCAACCTCACTGTCAAAGTCTGCCTCACTGACTACACCCTCACTGTCAGTGTCTGCATTACTAACTTCAAACTCACTGTCGTCTGCCTCACTGACTACATCCTCACTAACTTCACCCTCACTGTCAGTGTCTGCCTCACTGACTTCAACCTTACTGTCAATGTCTGCCTCCCTGACTACACCCTCACTAACTTCACACTCACTGTCAGTGTCTGCCTCACTGACTTCAACCTCACTGTCAGTGTCTGCCTCCCTGACTTCAACCTCACTGTCAGTGTCTGCCTCACTGACTTCACCCTCACTGTCAGTGTTTGCCTCCCCGACTTAAACCTCACTGTCAGTGTCTGCCTCACTGACTTCAACCTCACTGTCAGTGTCTGTCTCACTGACTTCAACCTCACTGTCAGTGTCTGCCTCACTGACTTCAACCTCACTGTCAGTGTCTGCCTCACTGACTTCACCTTTAGAACTGGAAGGAAAAAGAATGCCCATTTTTTCGTGAGAATAAATCACTCAGAAAAATGCCAATTTTTTGGGAGAATAAAACACTAATGAACAGGATGTCCATTGGACTTGTGTCCATCAGTACACTTATGTTTCTGGTCACTCTCATATTACGAGGAAAACAAAGAATGGTGACCTTGAACCTACCAGCTCCCTATTGTTAGGAGGTTTCACTTGCAACAAATAGTGATATTCTGTTTAGATTCAGCACAAAACATATCGCATCTCTCACACTTTTTGGATACTTCATATGGATTCAGTGACTAGCAGTCCCACACACCACCTCTTTACAACTTCAAAGTGCTGGTTCTGATCTCACAAACCGGTTTTGTTACACCTTACCAAGGAATAAATAAAACAGCTCAAGAGTCACAGGCAACAGAAGATAAGGTGATCAACTGGTGTACAAAGATGAGTGCTGTAATCAACCCAGAAAAGGCAACGGTCCTGTGGTGTTCTTTGGACAACAGGATTGTTAGAGCTGATGTTCCAAGCCTACAAATAAATGGCAGGGACATCAAAAGAGACAGCAGACTCTGGTACCTGGTAATCACTTTGACAGAAGCTTGTCTTTCAAGGATTACATTAGGTTTTGACAAAGGCTGAAAAATGTTGTAATGCACTAAAGATTATGGCAGTAATGGACATGGAGCAGAGAATGCTGTTCACAATTTACCAACATTTAAATCATCTCAGTGATTGACTACTGACACTGACTGTAGACTGGGGTTACTCACTATCTCAAAGAGTCAGCTAGAGAAACTGGAGCGCACAGAGAATGAAGCTATGCGGGTAATCCTGGGATGTTTAAGAGTCACCCCGATAACTCAACTTACCAAGCTACTGATCACATAACCGGTCTGTCCACATCTCATGGTGGGACTTGGGACTTATTGTGTAACCGGTCTATCTACACCTGACACAATGGTGCTGATCACATAACCAGTATGTTTACAACATTTTACAGTGGTACTGAGCACATAACCAGTCTGTATATACATTTTACAGTGGTAATGATCACATAACCGGTCTGTGTACAACTTACAGTGGTACTGATCACATAACTAATGTTTACAACACCTGGAATGTTGGTAAGCCAGAAAATGCCTCGGTGCCTGTAAGAAAGTAAGAAAAAAGAAAGAAATGAACTATTGCAAAATGCATTCCTACACTACACATCCTTATGACTGCTGTATATTCATAAATCTGACATGTATTCCTAAATCTGTTGCGTATATTCTTAAAACTGTATTCCTAATTCTAT